TCTCTTGAGTCGACTGTTGACTCCATGTGCCGTCGAGCAGTTATACACGCGCGCCGCTGCGAAACACATAATTTTCTATGCTCAGTGTCTTTAATAAAAAAAAATTATCAAGGGCTGCTTGGAGATTAAATTCTAGGTTCCACAGTCGTCTACGCGGCTTCCTACCCACTCCAGTAAAAGATATTACTAGGTCAATTAGAAGAACTTTTTATTTCTGCTGCTGGCGCATTTCGTTTAGCCGCTTGAAACTTGGCGCTCTGCTTTTCTAACCAACTGTACTGACGGCATTTTGTTTACGTTAGCGCACGCCAATTTTGCGAGCGATTAAATTGTTGCGACCTTCTTCGCCACATACCCACAGCATATATGCAGCTGAAATCGCGAACACTATGTAATATAATCTAATAGATCGAAGGCTGCTGATATCGCGTTCGCCGAAAGTTGGCTATGACGCTTTGCTAGTGAAGATATCTGTTCGAGTTACGAGGCACGCTCCGGAAAATGAAAACAACTTCGGATTCTATTAAGCGGAAATTGTGCCTGTCCATTTCAAGGGCTCCCCGCGCAGCCAGCAGCAGCAGCCGCAGTAGCAACAGGAGACGACTGGTACGTAGAAGACATACCAAAAGTAACAAATCGCTTCTTCATGACGTGAACGCAATGGAAGCACAGTTGCCAACTTATGAACCTTATGCACACCATAATTTTTAGCTCAAGAAAAGATAAGTAAATTCTCGAACAAAGGTCAACATAAGTAACTGAGAGCATTTGGTGAGAGGGGTATTTGAGATATTTATAAGATTTAAAGACACGGTGAAATAATGAATGAGTCTGCAATTCGACTTAGCTAGTCGGACTAGATAAAGACCGTAAAGATTTAAAAAACTGTACTACAACTTCAGGAACATTCTGTGATCAAAACATTTCTGACGAACCCTAGACGAAAACCCTTTTGCGCCTAGCCATGGCCCAGATCTTGTTCTGTCGGATTACAGGTGTTCAGATCCATGCAGTATGGTCTCTAGAACAAATGATTTAAACATGATTTAGAGGCTTGAAAATGGATTTGTTAATGTAGTGTTTTCGTAAATGCCTTCTTCTTTAGCCAAAGAATCAGCCCAAACGCTGAGAGACGAGCATAAAGGTTATAAATAGCAATAGACGAGGCTGGTTTCACCAAAAGGTTGACGCAATATAAACTGAGCTGATTAGTCATTAGGAAATATATTTCCAAATCCAAAAGCCTACATAAGAACTTAATCCCAAAGAGTTCCGTTAGCTTAAGGTCACTGTACTTTTTACACATATAAAGCGCTTTATAGCTTTACACCTATAAAGAAAATATGTAGGTGCAAAACTAGGTGCAACCGATACTAAAACATCTTCTCTAAACGGCGTGATCTGCAAATAAGAGCCCATATGCCATGCGTATTTTGCTACACGTTCATACGTATCATAGTCAGATATCTTAGATTATACTCGCACTTGCTCATATAGAGGTAGCAAACGCTTGTATATGACCTTCGGTATCCCTTTCAATTTATTTTATCTGCAAATCTTCATGTTCATAAATATTGACATTTTAATAAGCATTGTTCGCTTACAGGGCCCTAAAATCTCAAACCACCTATTATAGAATTGTTTATACAACGAAATGGGTCGATGATGTATCGAACGGTTCCGAAATATCGACCCGGTACAGTTAGAGCTGGAAGCCAATCCGCATTCGCAGGGCTCTGCTTGCTTGCTTGAGTTTGTTATATGTACGTAGTCAGAAACAGGATAATCCTGAATTTACACTAAAAATTATCGCAAGAATTTTGGCTAAGCTGTGTGATTTATTTCGTATTTTCTTGTGCATGCCTTACTGTTTATTGACTTGATGAGAAACAGCAATATTAATAACTAATATTTCACCTATAACCAGAGAATTCCTAGCTTCAGTCGGCTAAAGGCATCCATACAAGGAACAGTGAAAGCATTTGCAGGAGCCTAAAAATGTACGAAACAATAATCAGCGCCCTAAGGTTGTTCTTAGAACGCGAAGGTCTTTAGTAGTAATGCGAAATGCTTGAAAAATACCTTCAGGCATTCACAATCGGCAAATTAGTACCTATTTTTTTTCCCATGCACAGAAACTTTCTGATTGCCCTATATAGAAATGATAAGAACTTTTAGGGAGAGTAGTTGATTACTCTATTGATTTCCGCGTAATTCGCATTACTTTGAATACCTTTCTTAATTTAGGGTTCATATATGTTAAAAAAACAAAGTAATATACAATCAGCAGCGATTTTGCATCAAGTTATTATAATCAAAAGTTGAAGAGCATGTACTGAGACGAAGCTTGTTAAGCGGTTCAAGTATGTTTCCACCCTGATTCTGCGCTTTTAGCTTTACGAAAAAGCATCAAAATGTATTTCTTTTTTTAACATAGTCGACCTAACCTATACAAGAAAATTATCTTTTATTATCTCCATGACTAACATTTAACGTATTATGCAGTCATTTTTATGCGAATAGCTTTAGATCAGAATGGACAAGGGACAAAGGGACCACGTTTTCGCAAAGGACTTACATTGTTTTTAATTAGATCGCTAGGCTTATTATCGCCCAAGTATGAAAAAACGAATTACCTTGACTGCTATCAAACCAGTCAGTATTTTACAATCTAAAATCTGTAACAACCAAACATTTTCGAGAATTTCTCGTAATTGAAGAGAGAAGGAGTTGTCTTTACGATATTGACAAGTGTATCTTTCTGATAAGACAACTAACCGAGACAGGCTCTAAACTGTCTTTTGTGGGCCTAACCTAAACGGCAACCTACGTCAGTAAAAATTATGTACCCAAAGACAGGAGTCCTGAAATGTCGTAGCGATAAATGATTGCCAAAGTTCAGCGATTAGCACAGTCGATAGCTTCTAGCTAAAACGCTGAGATAGTTTCAGGTGAGTCATATCGTGTTGCTGGACATACATATTGCCGCTCTCTATAGAGAGGAGATAACGAGAAGCGAAAATAACATGTAACGAATTAGTCATTAAACGTCTGTTAGCTAATAGCAAAGAGGCCGCTCTTTGGTTAGGCCAAAAAGTCGCTGAATTCGATCTTGTGTCCTCGAATGCCTGCATACGACTAATTTGTACTTTCAAGCAATACGGACAGTTAGTATATATAGGAGAAGGAGGAACAGGACTACGCGGCTACTAAATTACCTATCATTCCTCACAAAACATTACGAGTGATGATGCCTCGTTATTTAAACGTCGCATAGCTTTTACATGTATATGTAGAATATGAGAAAAAACTTCTGTTCTTAAGTAGCATCAGCTAAAAGATTTAACATGAGAACTAAAACAATTCAGCGCTGGTCATTTTCTTCCGAATTACACAATTTAAATAGACGAAATATTTATCGTTCAGTTTTCAGAATGCGAGCCAATGTATAGTTATTATTAATATATTACGTAAAATATTTAAAAAAATGTGAATAAATCATACTATATTAACTTTATCTTCATTTTCTCTGACTTTACTAGTTGATTTTAACCAGGCGGATCAACTCTGCAAACTCATACTTTAAATGCAACGTTTACACTTAGCGTTTAGCTCCCGAAAAGGCAGAGATCTGCTTATTTGAGAAAACTATCATTTGGACAAAATGGTTGCTCATGACCATATTCTCAGACTGATTGTTTCGCAAAGATAAATTCTTAATGCATCCTTGATATCAGCAGGACTTCTGCTGTTTTCGTCTCTATTCACTTGCGATACGGCAACCGCCGAACACGCTATGTCATAAAGCTTCAAAATATAACTCAATTTTGGTTATAAGTTTGCTTTAACCGATAGGTTCTGTTTTCACGAATAGCAAATGTTATATTTAAGATTGTTTACCTAGTCGTCACTATGCAATCATCAAATATAAATGTATTGATTAAAGGCGGCGTGGTCATAATCTCTACATGCATACAATGGAAAACAATGTATGGATTTCTCGTGAAGCTACCTGAACATGAGAAATGATGACTAGGAACAGCAAATTTTTTTCGCACTTTCCATACACTCGTTACAATATTACAGATTTAAAGAGTTCTGATGGTATAAAATGATAGTGTTTTAAAGAAAATACACAAATATAAAAAAATTAGATATCTGCGAATGTAAACAACAAAGATATGTTATCCCCATCCCAAGGCGAGGATCTACAGAAATGAACTCTTAATTACACAGATATAGTGAATAATAAACAAAAAAAAATAGACACCAACTACGAGTGACACTAAGAAGACTAAAGACACACTTTTCATTCATTTCATCTATCTAAACTATTTCAACTAGAAGATTACCACAGTGAAATTTACTTATGATTTTGTTATATCATGTACAAAAGATATGAACCGAGGTAGAGTTCAATAGCAGAATTCCACGCTATGGGGAAGTAAAGGGTGAAGTTGTAGTTTGTTTTCTGTGCCGAAAAAGACATGCCTGAAAAAAGCGAAAAAACTACAAATTCGTAAACGCTACCGAGCCCGTCTCTCTGCCAGGTCTAAAGGAACGGCACTAATACGTCCCCTATATCGCCATAGAATGTAACAGTGGAGCACTATTGTTGGCGTGCACAGTAAAGTTTTACTAACTGCTGATGTCATTTAGCTGTAAATGTGAGCATATATTGATAAGAGCTCCGATACGGTCACTTTCAAAAACTCTAAATAGGCGACTGGGTATAAATACAGTGACACAATGTATTTCTCTCAAAGCAAATAGCTAGCATTGTAAGGAATTTAACTGCACATTGATTACTGTATACAAGAATCTATGGTTTATATTGCTCTTGCGTGCTACTTCTGGTAGGAAAACAGTTTATACTTTCGAAAGCAAAGAAATTAAAAATATACCTATTAGTATTCTCTATAAGTGGTATCATATAGTATCAAAGGATGTCATTTTCCGGTAAGACAACTATCGTGAGCAAATTCTATTATTACATTATTATATATTATGTAACAAGGTTTATTTATTCATATTCTCCCTAAAACGCCTCCACATCTCTTCCAGAAGTCTTGCTGGTGTTGCCTATTAAATCTTAAACGTATTATTACGTGTTTGCACATCTGAGGGCTGTGGTGGTCTTGGTTCGAATGCTACAAGACGATAGTTGTCTGAAGCAATGCGGGTTTAATTCTCAATTAACAATTATTTGTTCTACTTCAACGATACAGTCATTAAAATATATCGCATTTGCTGTCATAAGAGGCGATGATACTTTATTCATTAAATATTTGTTAATGAAGGATACGGTACTAGACGCATCATTTAATTTTTCAGGACTGAATATACATTTACAAAAGCGTTGAATAGATTAATATATATATATATAATTACAAACGTTTTTTTTTGTAATATTATTCGATAATATTTTGAACATTTATAACATTTAGAAGCGGATGGAAATTAAATACCAAATTTTCTTACGACAAAAACCTTGTATTCTGTAGATTCTGCTATTGTGCGAATAAAAAACAGCGGCAAACAAATAAATAGCAGCAATAATGTGACAAGTTTAACATAACACCACTTACCCCAATATGGGTCAACGGCTTTGCTGCTAGGATTCACCAGTAAAAGCAAAATTTATTCCAACACGGTCGCAAGTACTTTGACTTATTGACGTATGGATGTATCGTGACCTTTAGCTTAGAAATGTTGTCATAACTGCCCAGCCGCACCTCAGTGCAAAATATTTTTATCGATTTTCATGTTGTTATTTTCATGCCAGCCACAGAATGATAATGATTCTGGGCTTGCAAATAATTGCGGTTGTACCCCATTCATTTTAAACAAGTGAATTATACCAATACATGCATTATAGCTGAACGATAACTTGGAAATAAGAATCTCATAAAAGTCGATTATTCTTGATGTGATCGAAGCCCAACGGATTCTCGTGGTGAACCAAATGAATGAAAAACTGCGTAGAACTTTACGTGATATCGATCCGAGACTTCGATCAACTTTCAAAATATGTTTGATATTATGTTTGATATTAATGAACAGGGATGAAGTCTTCAGCTAAATGCACACTAACGGTCAAAATATTTACTTTATTATTTATTTCTTATTTGTTTTTCTTTTATTTTATATTATTTATCAAATACTATTTAATATAATATATATTTTAATCCTATATAAATTATAAAGATTCAAGTGGAGAACCCCGTTAGGCAACCAAGTTCTGCTATAGAAATGAACGATGTTTCCATGAAGATATCATCTGCTAAATGACAATTCATTGTTCGAACCTGAAATGCCTCGGCGGCTCATATGAGGACAACCGATGAAGACTACCCTGTTCTGTTCGTGAGTAATTAACAACACAAACAGTAACAATTAGATCATTCGAAATACCAGTTTGAATACACATTTAAGCGAAACGCCGAACCAGTCGAGTAGCGTCGCTCGTGCTCTGTGGAAATGTCTAAAATTCATCGTTTTTATCTTGCTTGTAGTCATCTTTATATTCGTTTAATTGTTGTGTGCGGTCGACATACGGTGTTTCAATATCTCCGAACTGGCCGTCGCCCGTATCAACATGTAACTCTTCGTTTTCATCTTCCTGGAAATCCCAATCGGTGGGTGCATTTTTCGCTTTCAGAGTCTCCATCTCATCATCAGCGTTACACAAACCTAACAAAGCCAGTAAAGAGTCGGGTGACAATGGTAAATTCAATAAATTAACGCATTAACTATGCAAATAGAACGCTGGAAATAGAATCCCAAAAAGCTTTCGTCATTGAACTTTGTAGCTATTAGTGAACTTGTTTTGCTCCTATAGTTCCCGGTAATCACCAAATTTGTGTTTAATATAAGATGGGCTTATAATATTTAATTCCAATACAGAAGACAAGCACAAATTCACCGCACTTACCTGTTGTGTGAATGCAAAACTGTTGTCCAAAATCGTGCGCTGTTGTTTTTAATCCATCGGCGTGGATGTGGCGCTTGAACAGAGTCATCAGAGCATCCTCATGATCGCCCATTATTTCCTCACACTATGAAAGAGCGGACAAAAAAAACTACATTAGTAATAACATCACACTGTGTGCTCATTTTTACTACTATTTTTTTTTACTACTTTACATAACACTATTAGTACTAAGCCGCTATTTACCTGAAAATTACCTAGATGGTATACACGGTTGTCATCATGCGCATATTCCATATGATCACATTAGTTGTACGACGAGTTATACGACGTTAGTACCCAAAAAAACTAAGTGGAGCATTCACCGACGACACCCACCATTTGCTCACTGCATTTAATCTCCCTTTTTTTCCTGAAAATCCGACTCATATATATCCTGAAGATTTGTTTACCAGTAACACTAGCTTCGAAGTGACAGGGCAACCAGTCGGTATAGCCAACCAGATTAGTGTCCATATTTGAGGAAACAGCGCCTAGTGCTTTTTGCCTCTTTGCCTCGTATTATCACAACGAGTCACACACGCAATGCAAACTACACTGCTTAAAAAGACGACGGTCAGAGCAAATGTGATGCAATACGTACTCTGGTATAATAGTATGAATCCTGTCGCCGCACATCCTACATATTAACTGCTAAAACCAAAATATGCCCGCTATCGTGCCATGGTAGTTAGAAACGAGAAGACACAGGTATTACCCAGGCCGGAAAAACTATTCTGTTTATGGTCGAGATGATTTAACGGAAGAAACGGTCCAAAGGTGCTCTGTCGAATTCGTTCTGAAAATTTCGATGTCCCTCGACAATTTGGAAAAATAGCAGAAGTTATTCCGAAAGTTAAGCAAGACGGACACATGAGTAGCCAACAAATTAGATACCCGCAAAAGAATTCGACGCAGAAAACTTACTCGATCACATTTCTATCTGCGAAATTGAAATAATTGCAATAGGATTGAACCATTTCTAAAGCGGTTGATTATGAATGATAAGTGGATTTTATACGACATGTTCGAAAGAAATGATCTAGAACCTGTAAAAAAGCTCCGACTGAGAGCAAAAAAAAAGATGATGCCATATGCTAGTCAGATTGGAAAGGAATCCTGATAATTATAACACGTTGCGGCTCAGCAAAACGGCTGACTTTTATAGCCAACAACTTTGAAAAAAGTCACTGGAGCTAATGAGCAAACGGGGTATCGTTTTCCACCATGACAACGCCAAACCTCAAACACCTTTAACAATCTGACAGAAGTTGAGAGCTGGAACGGAAAATATTGATGTGTTCGGATCTGGACTATCTTATTTCGATCTCCATAAAATTAATCGTGTTAATTTAGCCCCATGGCAGGGTTGCAAAAATCATTTATCGCAATTTCTCACTTAAAAACCACAATGTTCTTCAGTAGTGGAATTATGATGTTATTAGAAAAAAAAAAGGTTATAGATCAAAATGTAAGAATAAATGATATCTTGTTATGCAACTACCTAATACTTATAATGACTTCTTACCGCTCTGATTTCACCCCGATGCAAAAGAACCCTAGCTATAAAAGAATCAGCATTGATGAAAGCTTTAAGTGCAACTTTTGCCAGCAGTTTCATATATTAAATAATATAGTACATAAAAATATCACGAATTATAAAGTTCTGAAATATTCTATGTGATAGATCTAATCCTAGGATAAGCACTGATTTACCACAATGCAGCGCAGTCGATACAAACTGTCATAGGAATAACGTACACACTATATAGGGTTAAGGCGAAAATCGAGAGTTTTTTCATTATATTTTTTTGCCCTCACCTTTACTATAGTTTACTTTCCTACTAGCACATTGAGGACTCATTTTTGATTTTTGTCGTACCCTGTGTAATACAAAGTGTTCTTAAATGAACGAAATTGTTTCCTATATTGCAGGAGTAAAATTAAAACTACAACGCATTAAAAGTCTTAATAAAACCATAGAAAATAAAAAGAAACGTGACAAACAAATGTGTTCATCTTGGAGTTGAACTCAGGATTCGGGTTGAATTTCACTTGGTGTATCTTATCCATATCCTCAACCATGTTTATCATTGTAGGAAGGCCCGATCGTTTGTCGGTAACGGGCACATAATCTTTCATGCCACCGCAGACTTTGCCGTCATCCAGAAGACTAAGTAGCTGAATTTCGGATCCTCGGTACGGCACCTAGAAAGATGTAAAATTACGTAGAATACGTAAATAACAAAGAAACAAAGATTCTCCACAATTAAATCAGTTTTCTTGAAGCACAGTAAGAATAATTATTCAAATTGCAACTTTGTGCAATTTTTTAGATTTCAGTCAGAATGTATGGTAATGCTAGCAGTTAACGTTGAGAAGACAGTTCGTAAACAGGACGAATACTAGGTTATGGAAAAATACACTCTCGAAATTGAACAGAAAAGAAACCTGGAAGGTATTGTATATTAGAATAACAGAGTTAATTTTTTATTACTCACATTTCAGGTTTCACAGGTTTCTTCTATGAAGCAAATTCTATAGAAATAGAGTATTCATTGTATTGGTGGGGGAGAGGGGGTAAACTAGGCTTTCGAAGTAATTTAAAATAAGCCCAATTTTTAATTCTGTTGTGTACCTAGCGTCTCTGTTTATGATTCGGCGACTGCAAAAGAAAGCCACAAAAATATTCATTTTGTGCATACGTTTCCTTGTTTTATGTAAGTTCAGAAGTTATTTATTCACTTACTTAATTTAAAGATTAATAGTACAGAAAGAATCCTAAACTTTAACGTATACGAAAAAGCATATCATTTAACGCAGGTATTGATCGACGGACGTACAAAAGCACGACAAGACCTAAGTCTAACCTTCTTCTGTCGGGTGCTTCCATCAGCCTGTAATCTGAACGAACCAACTTCTATAACCTTCGCCGGGTCAGTGCTCTCCACTTCTTTGAAAAGAATCTTCACGGCCGTTTTACAGACTGCAATCGAGTGAGATTCAATTTGAAAATAATATGCTTTGTAGATTATTTTGTTTAAAATGAGCTTTAGTGACCAGAGAATAGGACTGTTTAAGGCATACCGCATACATGAATGTGAACTTCTCACAAAATAACGTTATTACACGTGTGTATATCTAATAATGGTTACTATGGCAACCCCTTAGAGCTAAGCAACCTGCGTTGGAAAACCGAACGTTTCGGCACATTTACATTAAAAGAATGCTAATGAATTACTTCTAAGTGACAAATAACCATGCAGAAAATTTCCTTTCACGCTTTCTCTACTCACTTCACGTTATAGGTCATACACCGCATTATGGAGGCCGTTTTGTAATGTTTACACTAGAGATTACTGAAAATGTACGTATGTTATATACATACGTAATTGTTTTATGACCAAGCTGTCACAAGCGAATCAGGAGGACATAATAATTCACTTTTGCGCTAATTAGGCCAGAACGATGATTTCTTTAAACGTAATCAAGTTATTCTCTTTTTCACGCAGTTACCTTAGCGTTCTGGCAACTTTTGGACATCTATATACCCGCCACCTGCGTCCATATGTAAATTTCTAGTCTGGCGTTGTCATTAAATAAGTAAACTGCGTGACTGCACACATTCGTCTGCCGTGTCAACGGTCCCTGAGTGTCTTAAGGAACTCGAAATAGTGAACTGCATTCATTACTTTACTTTAGACGATTGTTTTACTTCTCATAGTAGCAGGTGTTGTCCAGTGTGACGTATTTCTCTTGCCTAGTCCTTCTCTGGCTGGCGAGAGAGATTGTTATGATTTATGACGAATTTTTATTATTAAAATTCCACTATTCTACACGCATTTTTAACTGATATGAAGGCAACTTGCGGGAGACCTATTTTTCACTTTTGCCAGTTCTAGTCGAGAATGGTTTTGTATGTAAACTCTTTCTTCGATTTTGGCCACGCGCTTTCCATCTTTGGTTATTTTTTCCGCAGTCATTCCCCAGACATTCCAATGTCCGTTTTTGAAACATTTGCATTCATGTACCATGGTTTCACTTATGGCCAACTTGCCATTGTCTTTCCCAATTTTCGATGGATCTTCGCAGCGCTGTGGCTTCTAAGGAAAGCAGACCAGTAAGCGCTGATTTCCCAAATTAAAAGATGTTTTTCTTTCTGAACTCACTTCTCCTGGCACAACTTCCACAGGTTTCACTCACAAGTTGAAGTATTCGCCAGTCTATATTTCGTCTGCTACCGGCGCGTAATTCAAAAGTCCATCGGATTCGCTTGAAAAAGCTTTATGTATATAGATATATATTGATTGAACAAACAGAAACATTCGAAAGTGCGATTAAATTACAAATGGTTTTATTTCTATCGAAACTTTTTTTTACAAAACATCGAACATTTCACAAATTACAATTATATAATTAGTAGTATGTTAAGTATATATTCCAATTGAACTGAAACTAAAAAAACTGAAATTGAACTGAAAAAAAATATTAAAACGGATGACGAGTTACCAATACGATCGTTTTCTCCGGGTATGGGCGTCAATTTCAAATCAATATGATGCACGTACCACGTACATCCGATTGAACGCGTATCAATGCTCAATATTAAAATCCCCCTTCAAAGACTACATCAACGCTCGCTTTTAGCCCGTCTCACCTTCACACTTTGTTTTACGAATATCAATTTCTTTTCGGTCAAATTCGGCAGCATCCTGTATCGCTACACCTTCACTTAATAGACAGGCGGCAATCCCAATCACGAGTAAATATTCACCCCATAACGAGGGCGGACATAAACTGCTTCCGCGACCAAAAACGCTACATCTAAGCCGGATCATCTGAAGTAACCACAAGTAACTGATCTTTATTAGATATATTATTACGAAAGCACATTTATGGTTGTCATATATTTGGACATTCTTCGGGTGCATACATATCTGTTACCTCAACATGCGCCAATACTGTAGTAGGATTTCAGAACATTCTAGTAATTTTCTAAAAATGATAATCGTGCCTGCCGACAGTAGGTCCATCGTTAAAGAGAAAACTATTATATACAATCCATTCGATGTGATGTAATACAACGATAAGAGATCTAGATGCTGAACATCCTAGTTTCATTTTTTATAACAATAAATACTTTTTTTTTTCGTTTTTCTTGAGACATTTTACGCACAGTATTGATAAGAGTGATTAACCCGTGTTAAGTGCAGGCTGGAGTTAAGTTTTCGATTCATAGGTACGTTCATTAGCCTTGTTTATTATTGATGGAAGTAGAAGTTAGAAGCGATATCGATCATTATTCAACGTACATTATATATGTGTGTAGATGTTCCAAGTGCTAGACAAAGAGTCAGGCGGAGGACATCAACTGTGACAATTCACAAATGGCTGTTAGCAATGTAACATAGCTTCTGCTTTCATTCAGATCTATCGCAATTAAGCATTACCGCTGTGGCTTTCCCAAGCCAGGATCTTAAGTCCCACCAGTAACACAACTCAATACAATAAAAATAAAGAAACAGAACGTAGTTCGCTTAGGTACTCAGATCCTGAACCTAAAATACTTTAGCTGGCATTTAATTTGTCATTACGAAGCTTACTTCTGCTGCATATGAACGAGAACACGGATAGTCTATATCTACGGGCTTTGCTATATAATAATGCCGTGAAAAACACGAACGTGCACGCACGCACACACACACACACAACTATCGAAACAACAGTACTTAATGTGTGTAAATACATACTGCTAACTGTTAACTCTGATTGAATAAGTTTTAAGATTGCTTTTTAATACACATATATCTGTATCATATATGGTAGTGCATAATATACGTAATCGAATACATTTCGCAGATTTTTTTTGCCATCTTTACGAGGCGCAAAATAGCTAAATGTTGGTGAAAATAGCATCCAAATTCAGTCTGCAGTAATTACACGACGAAAGCACAGGAGTGCACAAGGTAACGATCTGTCTATCGAAAGTAATATAGGTGTAATTTCTTCAGCGGCGTAGTGGAAAATACGCTACCATTTCGTAGAATTCCAAGTCACGGAAATCGGAATACGCTTGTAACACCAAAACTAAAATGGATTGATTCTCTAGAACAATACAAGTGACTTCTTAAGTTGGAAATAATACATGTATACGTTTTTCAGTTTCAGCTTCAAAATGTAGAAACAATTTAAGCGTAACACTCATGCGTAATTGCACTTACATTGAAGTTCTCCTTTTTGTTCGCTTTCACGGATAAAAGTTGGCTCAGATTTCAGTATGCGAAGAGGGATGGGTCTAATGAAGAACGCGATTTTACGCGCTATATTTTTCTTAGTTACCCAGTAAACTGCACTAAATCGGACCTACGAGCTTTCTTAATCGCCTTCAGCACTCGAGTGAACCCGCTTCTCAGCTAAGCCCGCGTCGTCTGCTGTCAGCTGTTTGACACGTCAGGGTTCACTGCGAGAGAGAGAAACATTTAAATTTAGAAGCACTCCACCATGGCGGCAAGATACTTATTCGAAATAAATGGGTGATGTCATGATTGAGATAACATTCAATCCGCTTCGTTATACATAAGCGTGATATATTGAATTTTGTGGCAGGGATTCAAGCTTAAATACACCTAGGTAATTGTACGAAAATGCCAGTAAGGCAAAAATACCACACCGGTCCAGATTTACAGAAGCTGGCCATCCACCTATCTATTAATACGTGCTTTTAATACTCAGACAAATATTATTTATAAATAGGATAACAGGAATACATAACACAATGGTATCCTTAAACACAATTTGAATCATTCAGGGTATTTATGCTATAAATTTATTTCGCTATATGAAAGGGTGATCACGCACCGAATTGTGGCATTATCTTGGGACAGATGAAGTTGCCTAGTACCTTTCATTCAGCCGTTTTGGCTGGTTTTATATATTCTATGTTAGACGTGTGATTTTTAAAAGCTAGTAAATATTTGGCCATCACTAATTGGAGTTGTACAAAGCTTTCGTTATGAGTTTTTCACTTGCAAGTTTCACTAACCATATAACAAATAGCATATCTACAAGTTTTATATGAATTCATTATACAAATTCGGTAAAAAAAATCTTTTTTCATTCTTCAGCTTTAAGTTATAATTCATATACTTAATAGTAATCTCGTGAAGGATAATTTTTTGTGAATTTTTTTTTTATAATTTTTTGCTTAAAACTTTTGTAACGCGTCGGAAGTATTTGGCCCACGTTTAGCCGACTAATGAAGTCAATCCCCCGTTCCGTTGCCTGATGATACTATAAGTCAATACCGCGTGTTCGGGTCGCAATAACGATTTCGCATCGTATCACAAAGTCTAAAATACGTATTTTGTAATTAGACTATTTTTAAAGCATAGTAATAAATATGAGAACTCAGTTTCTCAATGAAATGGTCTCAACTTCGGGCAAATCCAGACCCATCAATGACTGTTTCAGCAGAATCTATACGCATTAAGCTCGCATGTGCCCCAAAGCGTGACTTTGGGTGACGAAACGACTATGTAAGGGTATGATATGGAAGCAATGACGAAACAGTTTGAGTGTCGCTTCGAAGGAAACTGTAACGAGACGTATTTAGTTTAAAATGTTCATAAAAAAGAATAATTAAATAAACCACTTCGATATTCGTCGCTGTGATACGCTTCCATCTTGAATCATAGATGAGCACGCGTCAAGACGTTTCTGCATTGCAGAAAAAACGAAAGCAAATTAGTTGAATATTATAGAAACTTCTGCTCCTATAACCCCAAGACGTATTTGATTTGACTTTGCCATTACTGACCAGTTAACTTTCTGACACATTTGGAGAAGCTGAGTTCAATCGCTCGTCGTCCATCAGGTGTCTCGCGAGATTTCAGTTAATCTCAAATATGTGCTTCTGCAGGTTTTTCACACAGATTGCGTGCCGATAATTTGAAACTGTATGGTACTTATGTATCTACTAATAAAAAAGCGTTGTCCAATCGAGCATAAGGGCGCGTTAATTTTGGTATTAAAGTGTGCCTCTATCCGGTAATTATGATTTTATCTATACTCTTAACGTTGTCTTCATTTCCTGAACTTAGCCTATTCAGAGGTTGGGGTCCTTATCAGTACTCTCCTAAGCTTTATTATTATTATTACTTTCCTAACTGATGTTTTGTTGCTGAGCAAACTTATTTTTACGTAATAGCTGTCATTTTCCAATATACTTATATATTACACTTCTATTCGAAATAGCATTTTACAATGTACGGAAGTGCTTTATACGTAGGGTGAGTACATGGTGTGGTGCTAGCAGTGAACCCTTTGTATCCAGACCGATGAACCAATTTCACGGAACTGCCGATATTCGTATGATTGATCAGCAGGTTGATATAAATATGGTTATAACCTACACAGTGACGGAACCGTTGGAAGTACGTTCTCGAATGGGCTCGCGTCACGTGCGTTCGTGACATTCTGAGACAACGAGTGACTCGGCCATTAAAATAAATTCTAGTGTTAAAATCCGTTTAGAATCATTTACGAGTTATATAGCTTTTAACAATGGCGTATTTGTGAAAAAAGTATGACCTGTTTAGTGGAAAATAAGAACCATGCATTTTACGCACGTTGACCGTTACAAGCGAATCCGGCGCTCCCTCTATTTTTTTATGCACTCGTTTCAGCACTCTAGCAGTTTCTGGACAACTATATTCTTATCTGTCGAGTCCCAATACCTAATCGGCCCTCGGTGGCCTCCAAAGTTTCAATCTTCGTTGTTGAACCATTTGTTGAAACGTCAGGATAACAATTATTGTTGTACTTGATATTCGGTACAAAGCAGTTTCAGATCGCCTAGTCAGTGATGGGGCCAGGCACCTAAACAAGTCGATAACCGCTGCGTAGGTAAAACCACGTAGCGCCTATACGATCAGATTAAAACATCTAATTTTATAGACGCCTCCACCAAGTGGCGTTTCGACATTGTTCCCTGTTCAATCTTCACCGTTTATGGTGACGACATTTAATGAACATTTGCCTGCCGGGGGAACAGGATGGAAAAACGGGGGTTGAACCATTACCGTGTGCTAATTGTACAAAGTGAACGTTTCGCAACTATGCCTATAAATTCAGCGTCACGTACGACCAGCATGCATATTACTCTATGGGCAGAAAAACGGTCTTTTGTTAATTATCCTATTAGGTATGAGTCGTTTTAAAAAAATGTTAACTTTAACTTGAAATATTATGCACGAGTTTTTTTTTTTCTTTATTCGAACGTTGTTGTGCTTTCTTTTTCTAAAGAAGCATTTAGCCATACCTCCCAACAATAATAATATAGTTTTTACTCTGCCCTCTTCAACTTTCTGGATTATCATTACGACAATTGTTCGATAATTCTAACGGATCAGATGAGGCCGACGGGGCTTGGGACGTTATTTATATCGTTTTTGAGACTGAGACGATCCTACTCAAGATGTATGACTTTTGTTTTTATCGTAAATACGACGCAATATTCGGTGTTCCGTACTGTGCTCAATCTGGTCGATCCAACCCAATCCTGCAGCTACTACATTAGCTATAACGACCAGGTTGTTCTAACTGAGTTGGTCGTTTGCGGAACGAATCCGTATTAATTTGCGAATTATTTAATTCCGCTCGTTTGTCATCTACGTGGCAAATTTCTAACCAATATGTTTAACTAATGTCAGTTATACTATAATCAGGGCTGGTACGACCGTTCACAGTTTCGCTAATGAACCCGACAGCTGTTCATGCATTTTTTTGTTTATCTGTATTCAATGTGCTTAAGGTGGAAAATTATAGCAATCAGCATGACTGGATTGAAGAAGTGGGATAGTAAAGACTGACGAATAGTGTTAAATGGGCAATGTGTAGCAACACTCGGTACAAAGAATGGACTGTTCTTGTGAAAACGTGTGCGCAGTTATGTTTAAAGCGTCATGGATCTTCGCAAGCATGGCTTCTGTAAACGAATACAAATGGACCCGATAGAGCTTCATTGTCCTTGTCAATGGATCATATTTCTGCCCCGAAATTCAGCCGTTATGAAACTTGGTCGTCGCGATATGCTAGCACTTAGTTTGCCGTATTTTCTGAATCTTATAGTAGCCCACTGGGTGTGGTTTCGGTCACCATTTCTGCGTGCAAGTTCGTGAATACTGCTTACATGTGTCCTGTGAAAAACAGAACTTTCTCGCTGTCGTAGCCTTATTTAAATTAGGACTAATCTCGCATATAATGATCTATTTGCGTGATAGCCTTGAACACTGAAAAAATGAAGGGTCTCTCTTAGCCTATTGAAAGCGTCAATCTATTTTTACTACTGTTTGACGATTATGCTATAAAAAATTCTGTGGAAAGCTCTTCCTGCGGTAAAAATGCTTCCCGCTGAATCAGTTATAGTCACGACAAAAAAACCTTGCCCCCGAATACAGCATGACATTATCGTACGAGATATATATATATATATGCTAGTTTACTTGATGGCTCCTATGAAATTTCTTATGAGGAGCGAAAAAGGCGAAAATTCTGTAAAGGGTTTCGTAACTTAATAGATGTTTCATAAATGCGTTCCAGTCGTTGTCAGCCATGATTATAGTGCTAGAATCGAGAATATAAGCGTGTGTCAATGAAACTAAATTAAGCACTTACGTAACTAGTCTTAAGGAGAGCAAACTGCATTATGTGGTAAGAAAAGGTCGAGTGTACACCTCCTGGCAGGTGCATGCTTACGAGCTGAAGGTCAATTCAAGATGGCCTTGCGATGACGCGATTCGCCGTGCTCGAGCACCATTGAAACCATGTGTTTGTTTCGACAATAGGGGAACGTCTCTGATGAAGCAACACTGCTCGATGAAATGTATATTGACGTCAACCTCTATCTCATCGAAGCACACGCTAATGCCATCTTAACGATATCGAAACAGGGTGACCATGACGACATGGTAGTATACTGAGACGACGTGTCTGTCTGAACCTAAAAATGCGAGGACAACCTTGTTCAATATACAGCCTGTGGTTATATTGTGTGACTTCATAGTGTATGATGCTACTAGACATCGCGACGCACTCCGTAACCAGTATTCATAAAAAACCGACGAAAAGGTTATTCGTTACGAATTTTGGGTAGATGCTCAACAATAGACCATTACAGCGCAACGCATTAAAATAAGCCTTTGGTTTCGTAGTCAAATGGTGTAATACAGAACATCCATTGAGCGTAAGCCGTATATATATATATATATATATATATATATATATATATAATTAGTATTAAAGCCAAATGGGACAATTCGCGAAAATAGTATAATCCCCGGTGTGTACATGTATTCTTTTTAGGTGACTCAGGCTCTTAGCCTGGTTACAGATACATAGTACCCCTCACTAGAGACTATAGAAGTCGAGCAGTTATTTTTGTTTAACGTTATTATGTTCAGGCGGGAATTTTATCTGTTGTGCATGCGAAGTTACTGTCATCACAGGCGCGAGTGGTAATTTATTCGATCACATTGAATGATACGGTAGTTTTTCATTTATAGATTTCTTACAATTATAAGAACGATCTCTCTGCTTATCATCTGATCAGCTGACGCTGATCAATGGTGTTGAGTGGCAACAAAATTTGTACGACATCGATGAATACGTCCATCGGTGATATCTCAAGAAATTAAGACTAAAAAAATATTTATATTTAAGAGAAAGAACAATTAAGGGAGGCTGGTGCAGGAAAACACGATGAGTATTTGCGAAAGGCTTGAGGCAGATTTACAACGAAAGTAAAAAATCACTTATATGCAACCTTGTTTTTCAGAAATGTACTGCACCTATCAAATACGTTATCTTAATCTCAACTGCTACTAGCTCGTTCGAAAAGTATCCTTAATACACATATTTACACAAGCCGACCAATTTTATAAAGCTAAATACGCTAATTAAATATTTTATTACATCGTGTTGTCTATCTGTCAGCTAGAAAACTACGAGAATTTATTCACAATGAAAACTGCTAATGTCAGTTTCTCTATTAATATCTCTGTAGTAGTATATACCAGTTGCAAGTTGTCGCAGTTAACAAGCTTTAAATTGAGGTCTTTTACAAAACAGCATCATTCCGTCACGCCATTGATTCAGCTCACTCTGGAAACTCTAATTGACTAACAGAAATGAATCTAACAGAAATCTGAAGAGTCAGGATACGCCACAGCTTCAATAGCGTTCTGCGTGTTTACAATATGGGCATAAGGCCTTAATGGTAAAGGCAAGGCTTTACATCGCTATAAATTACTACCTAGTGAGCAGCAAAAGGCTTGTTTTTTTCTTTACCAAGCTTTTAATCGCCTTCGAAAGTCAGACACTTTAGCTATTTGCACTACATTGTTCTCCTGAGACCGTGGCACGATATTACATTTCATTGGTCTATAGAATGGTGTTTTCAGGAACTTTCTTTTCACACCAAAAACACACAGTATTACTACTACTATCGACGGCTAGCTCCGAAGATGAGTCAGCAACATACGGTTTTTTCTTGTTGACCTCCAGGCGAATATTGTAAATTTATCAAATGGTACACGTTTGATACTAACTGGTTTTACTTAATGATGCTGATACCAACTTTACTGTATCAGCATCAATAATTTTATGGTAACTTACAGAAAGGGTTTTCAATGATAGCTATTCTGGTCAAAATTACGACCAAGTGCCTGCGCAGATAACGCAGACTGCAGTGCTAGCTAGGTAATATAACAGGGTACTTAATTTGCGGTTATTTCTAATATGGGTCTACGGGAAAACCAGAGTTAGCCCTGACGTTGTAACAGAGCCAAGCTCTGCAGTAAACTCCTTTGGAGCTCTTTTGAAAAGCACTATCATTAAAAAGCAGACTAAAAAATCTAAACATGATCTATTTATCGCAATTGCTAGTTTGCAGACTAACAAATCTGATCAATACAAACAGAGTGCTTTTAATTGATTAGTCGAACTTCACTATAATCCGTCAATGATGTGTTGACAGAAAGAAGTTTGTTTTACGCATGCAAGAAATTTATTTTTTTCAAATAATCATACACAACATTTTTTAGACGACAAGGCTTAATAATTTTTAAATGTACTTTTTAACAATATGTTAAGAAAAAGATTATGTTCTGAATAAAGATAAATTATAAAATAAAACATTATAAATACACCCGCGCTTTTAATTACGTACACTGTTCCGCTGTGCAAAGGGAAACAACAGTTTAGGTAATCCTATCTCGCCTAATAAAGAGGAAAAGCATATATATTTATCATATCATATATATGTATTTGTATATAACTAATATGCAGCTGCCAGTAACCGATTTAGTCTTGCACTGCAACCGCCGTTGCGAACGGCGGAACGATCGGTCTGTTCAGCACCGCAAGAATAGATACCTTTAGGAGAGGAGATTACATAGAAGTTTCGCTTTTAAAATTTTTACTCTTCTTCGTCTAGCCTTTCTCCATTGAAGGATCCGCCCCCTGAACATCTCGATAACCTAATGGGAAAGTCATGATAACCAAAATACTATAAGGAGTTTAAGACACCACCGCTATCGTCCTGATAACATCGATCATGCGATACAAAGTTGATATGCCGGCAATTACCGAACCTTCTATGAAGAGCGCTAAACGCCTATTGTCGCTTGCAACACCAGTGCTATACAACGCCACTCTGAAATGAAGATTTGACAAAAATATTTTTTCAATAAATCAGTGTTTGTGGTATGGTATTGTGACGTAAACAGGATTTAGAATGTAATCTGCCATTAATTGGATAATGTCTGTTTAACTGTTTAGAAGTACTTCGTTAAACGCATCTGGTGTCATGAGCGGTCAGCTGGGTCAGTAAGGTAAGCCCCTTGGCCCAGTGTGCTGTAGTAGTGCTTGTATGTTACGATTGGCTCTGCATGTATTTTCTGAGCGGGCAATCTTCGAACGAATTTATAACGAGGCTCACCTCTAAACAGTAATTAGGTGCTAGAATAAGTGATATAATATAATTAAGAAATGATCATGCACTTTGATCGAGTTTAGGCAGTTGCTATTGTCCGATAATAGACAGCTTAATATATTGCTGCGAAAGAAATTATCGTCAATGGTCATATAAGATGCACCCATGAAGGCTTCCAATTTAAAGCGCGATATGGAAAAGGACGAGAGAGGAAAATCCAATTTAAATGAAAAAACCTGAAATAACAAACAGATGATTCAGTTACTGATGTTAGAAGCTGAATGGAGGCAAATGCTTAATTTGTATTAACGCAAGATGCTTACGCGTTATTAAGCAAATTTATATGGATCGTGACTACGTTTTGTGTGGCAATCAGACGGAGTTTTTTTTAGCCAGATCATCATACAATTATATGCAGTAGTGGCTAGAACTTATTAAATTAGGCTGTGTCTTATTTTTGTCTTGCTACCCGTTCTTTACGTTTAATAGTGAATCATGCTACACATGATAATAATAGCAGTAACAACAATATGCAGGTGATAAGTAAACTTCGTGAAATTTATTTGTTAATTCATTTGAAATTGTACTCAATTGCTTATAGGGAGATGGCAGACTTCTAAAAATTTTTTTAATTTGCGCATGTTGTTTGTATACAATGGCTTCCGCGCAGCTCGGAACCTGGACCATCATCGTATTACTAAGTTTAGCAGATAAACACGTTATCCACTGCGCTATTGCGGGGATTGGTTAGGAGGATGAGGCCCCCAGAATCGAACAAAAATTTATAGTAGTAGTTAGAGTATAGCCTATTTACCCTTTAAATAAATTTAATAAGTTTCTGACTTCGTTTTTCTAAAAAAAACTTGTTAATGAAAGGGTATTCTCAAAAACGTATTTAATATTATAGTTATATATATATATATATATATATACTTAACCGAATTTAGCCCTCTAGCTTGCCTTTTAGTTTCTTTCAAAATCAATTTAATTAAGGTCAAATGAAGGTCAACTATAGGCGTGCTTTCCGCAGGAGAGACCTATTCTTGTCACATAAAAGGTACATTACTTAGTTTACTAAGCTACTTCAATTTTATTAAGTAATAGTTATTCTTTAATAAAAAGCTTGCTGTTGAAGAATTATGGATACAGTAGTATCAGTGCGCTGCAGACACAAAATGTTTATAATCCTGCATGTCTTGCTTGTCTTTGGATACGAAAGCGGGTTGCCAGAAATCTATTAGGCTGTTAAGGAAGTTTTGCTCGCTTTTACTAATGGCTCCGATCTTCAATTTTTTCCTTACGATAACGAAACATTAAATACAGTAGAAAACTCAAATTTCCTTTACAAGGATACCCGCATTTATTTATTTGGATATGAAAGTGTTCCCTTGAAAATAGAAATTTTTCGACACTTCTTATTTGTCTTATATAGCATGATTTGACATGGATGAGGTTGAAAGAAACAACATTAGTAAAGAAACTACAATTATTTCAATTTAGATTGTAGAATGAAACCGAAAGTTGGAGAAGAACTATGTACAAGCGATATATTTTCGCCGAAAAGGAAAGTGATTAATGACTAAGACTCGAAATATCTTCTAGTATGTACCCTTAAATCTAGCTCGTTAATGTCCTTTAATCCCTTTAATAAATATCTATTTTTCAGAATGTCTTCGGAACGAATAAATGAAATGTCAGGGTCACTGGCGAAAGGCTTCTCTGATATAGGACTTCCGGCCACACACATAGCCGATATCGGCTATACAACTGACGTCGACAAGGGCCGGTCCACAGGGATGTCACAGACTATGGAGTATCGAGGTCAGAACTTTAACTTCCAGTTTGCCTCCGGTGTAGGTCAAACAGGAACAGTTGTTCAGGACGTGAGTAGCGTGGTTCAGGAACCCGGGCTATTCGAGCAAAGCGGACAGTTTGAGGGTCAACTGTTCCCAAGCCATGCCGATGATAAAAATGGCGAGTTTCAGTTTACGACCCAACAGTTTGTGCCAGAATTTACACCTGGTCAAGGGCTGGAATTTATTGAGAGGAGTTCAGGAGGCGTCAAACGTGCCCATCTAAAGGCAGTGGATAGTGGACAGCATCAAACAAGCAACGTCATTATCTATATGCCAAGCGACGTTCAAATCTGTGGTCAAAGCTATACGTCAGCAGCCGTAAATGGGGACACCTTCGCACGACAAGGGTTTTGCAGGGATACCACGCAGATTGTAAACTTGGTAGGCAATCTTACTGATATTAAGTCTACCGCGATATGTGAAATTTCTAATCAAAGAACTAGCCCTGAGAAAATAAAGGACGCGTCAGGGACCCTAAGCGAACATGAGACGGTTAAAGTGGGAACCGCTACTATGGAAGAAGTGTCAACGATGTCTACAGAGGACTTCTTGCGGGAGAATACGACACCAGAAGCGCAAGAGACAGCCAAAGATGAGTTAAAATTTTTGAAAGCACCACCAAATTTACGATCTCTTACATCGTTCCCACGTCTCAACCCTGTTCTTAGGCAAAGGCTCAAAAAGGATGCGAATTCACGTCATGAAAAGACTCTGACGTCTGCGCTCTCAACACTTTTCTTTGATGAGCGTTCGTCGTTGTATCAACAAGAACTCGTTGAGTTACTGAAGCCCTTGGTGAGGATGCTAGAGCTCCTCGAGGCCTCCCCAATTGACGCAGAATCAATGCGACGAATGCTTGGTTCTGTGGTGGCGTTGGTGGCCTCACTTCAGGAAATCATTGTTGCAGATAGGCGGAAAAGTGTCATGATCCATTACGGGGTCGAGGACAGTTTACAGTGCAAGGAAGAGCAAGATATCGAGCTATTTGGTAAAGACTTTCTCCTGGGAAACGGATTTACCCAGCGAAAGTGTACGACAAAGGATGCAAAGAAAGACTCAAAGCGAAAATCACCTATTCCCCAGGATTCACCATTGCAAGCGGCAGTTTCTCCTGTAAAACGAAAATATAAAGAAAACGCTGTGATGAAAAAAAGTAACGTTCAGTCAGATAGCGGTAAAAGATAAAATTTAATTATTTTTAAGATATTACATACAGTCAAGCATTTTGTGGATTAAAGTATACTACCGGGTGGAAAACAGCTTAAAACCATATCGTATCAAGAGTCATAAAAATTTTGTTAATTTCCAAAAAAATTCCCTTAACAAATTGTAACATTGAAATGTGGCCTACCTATTCTATCAATGACGATATCGATTCATAGTTTTTAAGCAACTTTTAGATATTGCAGACGGAGATGAAATAGCACAGATTATCATTTTGGACGATTTGGCTGATGATGAAAGTCATCAGGGCACAGAAAAGCCAACTGCCAAACTGGGATTGCCGCAAGTTCCAGGAACAGAAATGCAGTCAACGCTTTCAGTTCCAACTAATGTCTCCGAAGTAGCCGAAAGCGACTTTTCACAACAGTGCGAACAGCAGCAGCAAAGTGTCATTATTTCAAAGGGGCAGCCTCGAGCTGGGCGTCAAAAATTTTCCCGGCTTGGTCAACGACAAAAAGATAAACGAGTTGGCTGGCCAAAAAAGAACAAAGCTATCACAACAGGCAGCAATAAGCAGCAGACGTTCGTTCCTGGGATAATAACCCCCGTAGCATCTGTAATTACCGCTGCAGAGTCGATGGGAGGTGATGGAGCTGTGGAGCTTGGGCAGGTATCGTCTAAGTCGTGTAATCCAAGCGAAGTTATTGCGATGACTGTGACTTCTTTACCAGCATCAACAGCGGAGTCCGTTCTCCGCAATGAACAAGAAGATCAAAAGGCTACTGCAGAAGCCTTGAATATCAATGCCACGAAACAGTTTGATGCGACTGTCTCATTAGCTGACCCGACGGCACCTGCAATTCAAGTCTATCGATCATCAGTCCGAAGCGGCGCCGGTGGCAAGCGTAGAGGTACGAGCAGAACTTCCTCCTTAATGCATTTAATGTCTTCCTATCGGTTTAATAATGTTGCAGGATATGTGATATTAGGAAGGAAGTAGAGCCTCAAATTCTCCATTGATGGTGGAATCGTGGCCAACATTTAATACGCTTCTATCGATTCATTCGGCTATTTATAATTTTTGACAAGGTCACATATAAGCTTCATCATAGAAAATCTACACTTATGTGTAATAAAAGCTTTCGTCAAAGATCGATTATTGTGACCGGGCATGGTAGGAATAGGTATACAGGAATTATCGGTCAATTTTATACTAAACTTTATAGGCATTCGTTAGTTAAGGTAACATTCTAAGGACCGAAGTACGTCGATTAAACCTTCTTTCTTTTTCTTTGCTGTGTTTTTTGACGAAGCTTTAGAGAGTGCCGCAGCGAAATGTTCATTCTGCGCGGAGTCATTCTCGAAGCGCCTCCAGTTAGCCCAGCATTTGAAGCAGACGCATTCGGATCAACTGCCCGAGTGTGAAATTTGCAATCGACGTTTCGCATTTGAGGCAACCCTGCGTCAACATCGCGAGGAAAAACATCCTGGTAACGGCCCAACTCAACGACACGACTGCGAACACTGTGCGAAGAGCTTTCCAGATAAAGATCGACTTCAGGCTCACCTCTTCATCCACACACGTTAGTTCGGGATCGACATAGGTTTTCAATCGTGCCGTCTATATGTAAAGTTAAAGTTACGAGATTGAAGCTGACCCTGTAACGTCATATAGCGTCGAAGGTGTAATAACATAGAAAAAAGCATTGGAAAGAGTTCACGTCAAAGCGGACATAGCCAAGATATGCTCAAAATTTAAGAAAAACGGTTATCTGGTTTAACGAAACGCTCGTTAGTTCTAAAGGGTTTGGGTCTATGATGAAATAATTAATCGAACACCCTAACAACTCCAACCTTTTAATCACTTGCATTGAATACATATGACCGCTTTTTATTCTTTAACTAACTGTAATACTCTAAACCACCCCGGTTTTTAATTCCGCATTCATCCTTTGTTTAAATATTATATGTGTGTTCATGCGCAAAATTGCAGGAACAAAACAATTTGAGTGCCATATCTGTTCGCGACGCTGCCTGACCAAGGCTCATCTTGATCAGCATATGGCCGCCCATGACCGGGGCGAAGAACGATTTTATTGTGAGCGATGCGATAAACCGTTCGCCAAGAAGACCAACTATAAGCACCATTTGCGACTTCATTCTGGCGAGAAGAATTTTGAATGCGAACTTTGCCATAAGCGTTTCGCAACGCGTCAATATTTACATATTCACCTGCGCTCGCATTCAGCTGAAAAACCTTTCACCTGCGATATTTGCGGCCGAGGCTTCCAGTTCCAACATGTTCTGGTTGACCATGTTCGAACACACACGGGCGAAACACCGTTCGTCTGTGAGGTATGTGGTATAAGCTTCAAGGTGAAACGCACACTGAAGAGGCATATGAAAACCCACGGAGACGAAAGGCCATACGCTTGCCATATCTGCCAGCGAAGATTTAAGGTGGGCCATGTTGATTTGTTTTGGTCTCGACTAATCTGTCTACAAAATGATTTAAACTTTGACATAAATTATAAAATTAGGATGTGTATTGTGTTATTTTGAGCTGCTTACGTGTTTTTTTCTACTGTTGTGCCGTTCCGTGTCAATTCAAATCGAACTTATGTTCCAAATTGTATACTTTTTCCCACTTTCTAATCGTAACTCCTCTGCTTCATTTAATCAAGGTAAAGGCAACTTTGCGCGAGCACATGAAGACTCACAGTAACGAGAAGCCCTACCAGTGCCATGAGTGTGGGTTAGCTTACAAACGGAACGTGGAATTGCGGAAACATGCCTGCCCCGCCAGACAACAACAACAGCAACAGCAGCAGCAACAGCAGCAGCAGCAGCAGCAACAGCAGCAGCAGCAGGCCCTAACTGTAGCATCAACTTCAGCGCCGTCTAGTGTAGTAACCCGCTTACCGACAATTATTCAGCTGGCAGTACCGGGTCAGTCGTCGGCCTTGGCTGGAACCGTGACTTCAGCCGGCATTCCAACAGAATCCGTAGTCGCCACATCGAGCTTAGAAGATGCGGGTCTCTTGGTAGCCGGAAACTCTAATGATGGCCGGGTACAAGTACAAACTGAAGAGGTTGTTGAAGCTGGTGGATCGACTAACGATGGCCACCCAGCGACGGCCTCTGCAACGACCCTGCCATCGTTACAGACCGTAATTCCAGTGGGCACTGTTCAGCCGGGTTCGGATGGGACGACGGCTACAATTATACTACAGCCAATGAGCGCTGTTGGAGCTACGGCGGCCGCTGGGGCAAATTTTGCTGGAATTCACTTCATCAACCTCTAGTGGGCATATCAACCGATATAGATCAATGAAAACAAATTCTGATAGTGTGACATTATGATATCCTTGTATAACATACTTTTTTTTTTTTTTTTTCATAAAATCATGTGAACTCTATGAGCCAATTGTCAATGACACACACTGATAGAGCGCGACTCTGAATTAATAATGCCGTTAACGTGTAGCTGTACTGCTTTTCATTTAAATAAAATGTGGCCAAACGCTTAAATTTCAAGTGAACAGAAATAGGAAGCGACGATTGAAGCATAACCTAACAGAGGGCGGTGCTCTTGGTTCTACTTCACGGCCTTTTTTATATTTTTTTTTTGTGGGTAAAGAAACCATCTTATCGGATCAAATAAGGAATGATTTCTAATTATTTAGGGGCAGCATTGCACTTTTGAATGATGGGTGGCAATGATTTGGGGAAATGCCGAGTATTTTACCGACTGAAAATTTGTATTCAATCAAATGTACATATTTATAGAATATATATTCGTGGTTTGGGTCACCACGGATAGCTCATACGGATGTATTTGGACCTCAGCTGACTCTTTTGTCATTTAGAAATAATATATAATAGGAATAATAAGTAAGATTAGAATTTTAAAATAGAAGATTAGAACGATAACTGTTAAAATGAGGACAGAATTGCTACTATTTGATCAAATACTAAAAATAGGTAAGAAAAAATTATTTCGTTGTGCAGCTCGTCGAAGTTACTTTATATTGTATTATATGCGGAACTCGAAACTTACGATTGGAGCTTACCTCAGCAGTTAATTTTTCATCATCGTGTGTAATTGGCTTGATTGTTGTTGAAAGTGCACGCTTTGTACTTCGACTGAGCCCTTATGGCGGTAGAAGAACGAACTCTCGTCGTAACAATACCGGATAATGACTATAGTCGATTTTTGTGAATAAATATTGTTTGTGGGAGATGTTCTTAGAAAAAAAGACTTTTTACTAATACAGTATATTATCATGGCATCATAACCTGAGACTTCCCGCAAAAATTAAATATGAGCCTGTTTGCTGATTTCCACATCTGAAGAAAACGACATTGTCAGCACTCCTTAACTTTAAATGGAATGAGACACTGCACACGTTTAGTCTTCTCCTTGGCGGCAAATTCATAAGGGGCGATGCTAGCCACCAAGAAGCAATCAACAGCGATAGGAGTTGTTGATTTCTAAAGCGAAAGACTGTCAGTAGCAGAAACATTTCAAAATTGGACACGATTTTTACGATATTTGGACACGAGTTAACTAGAGTCATTGAAAATGATTCAATTTACGGAATTGAATATGGTTGTGTTCTTCTACATTTATTAGTGTTTCCAAGGCGTACAGGGCTTCCGTGGACTGACGAGCTTCAGAAGCGGCGGTCTTCAGATCGACACGACGTTTCTCATCAAAAGCTTTTACAACGGCTTGTTTCGCACAACGTTAATAGACAGCTAATTTATCGTACTGTATTACATATAATGCTTATGGTCGTTAACACTGTGAGATCATTAGTAATTTCTTCCGATTTGACTTATCTCTTGGAAGAACCTCACAATGCGAAAATATTTCAACTTTTGGAGTATTGAAAAACTGCTCTGCTGATGTTCTAGCGTGGATGACATGTGCGGGGGCTCTCTCACGGCGAGAACACCCGCACCGGCTGTCGAGATCGTCGACATTCTGGCGGATATTCATTGATTGTATTAATTGTGACAGGTCACATACGACCAACGACGACACCTGGCTAAAACGACAGAGAGTGACTACGCTTTGCGTATTGCAACTGTTGCTATTACCATATTAGAGCTTGCCTTACTCGTCGCGCGCCCGTTAATGAGAATCGGTCGATGGTCTGGCAACGCTACGCAAAGCACCAGAGAAGTGAATATATACTTAAACGGCGTTTAGTCCTCGAGTGCGTCCTTGCGACGCCGTGGCCTCATTGTACCAGGTTGTAGTTGGTCTGAAAACCAAGACTAAACGTTCAGACAAGATTGTTCATAGTAAATATATGCATATAGGGGGATAACCTTAAGGCTACGCAGGAAGCGGTACTTTCAGAGAGCTGAGGTGTTCTGCGAGGGTGCTTTAAAGCCACACGATAGGCCATCATTTCCCTCTAAGGAAGCGCGTTAGTGGATCGCAGTAACGATGCTATTCTAGTATTATATGTTATCGAGAAACATGGAGCTCCAGTGCTTCCCCTTGGGATCTTTGACACTCCGGGTATAAAACACCTCATTTATTCGGACCAGCTCGCTATTATAACAGTTGGAGGAATGTGCTGTTGACCCTCATTCGCTAGAACCTGCCAAATACACTTCAAGTTGATTGGGGTTTTGTTTTGTCATCAAATACGACGGGCATACTCAATATTTGATAAACGAAGAATGGTAATTGTTTAAATACGGTATCGAATTTCTAGCCCCCAAGTGCAGCTGCGTCCTGTACAAGGTAAGGCCTGATAGGTACCGTATGCCCGACTCCGTTCGGTGTCTAGGCTCGCTTTAGCGAAGCTTTCGGGCTGGCCTCCGGAGTGAAGACAGCGTCAGCTTCAACGATACCGTTGCTGCCTTTATCATCTACTAACTCCCGTATCCTGATTTACAGATTTAGCAGAACCATCTTGTTTCCACAACATCTACACGTCAAGTTGCCACGTTTAGATCCTTTTGCAGCAGTTTGAAATGGTATATATCTATAACGACCCAATTATATGCCTGGCTTTTACCGGTTGTACCCGCCTTTTGTTCGCAAAGGCCTTATGCAGTACTCCAACTTAGCGTTGCAAAACTTCAAGCTGTTGAGTGAATTTTTCACGAGGGTCAAGCGTAAGCCGAGTGTTGCAGGATTCGATTTAGCCTGGAACTAAGTTCAGGTTTACCGAACCACATCTTGTGCCTGACGTTAGACCAGACTCTAAGTACTACATTAAATGTGCAGGGAGTTGTAGGGATGATTATTTCGACTGACCTCCGACTACTTGTTGGTAGTCAGGTAACATGGGAAAGCCATCATTATGATAACTTACATACAGGAATTACGCCTGCCATTTTTGATTGGTATCATTAACTAACGGTTACAGCAGGAATTTGACCCCCTTATGGTAGGACGTTACGTTTTGATTATAGGAAACTAGCAATTCGATCAAGTATTTTCTCGTTTGATGTTAGACATATATGAGTATATCATCTAAGTTGGCCGCGATCATCGCAAAGCCGAATAGTTACACATTACAATATAGTTACGACCCCATAGTATGCAATACACAAGTATTTAGTAGTCCGGCAAGAATCTTCGCGTCATGTATTTCCGCCCACTTGGAAAGTTGTCGGATTTCGTTCCCGAGCGTTAACGAACGAGAATGGCGACATCCCATCGTACGTCGCTGAAGACCAAATATTTAAAGCCAATTCATTGGGCCTATTGTGCGCCGGCCTATTTTAGCCCTATGATTACTTACTTCGGTATTTATTGCTAAGTTGCTTTAAAGTATCAGTTATAGTAATTTGCTACAACTGTAGTTGCCGGCAAATCAGAAAGTGATGCAAGGACGCGCCTTGCGTCGATCGTTGACGAATAGGTACTCGAGATGTCTGGAAGAATCAGCAGGTTAAGGTGAAACTACTTCTCGAATAGTAGAGTCCCTGTGTGTGAATACAATAGGTCAAGCGTGTTGGCAAGTGGTATTTGATGCTCTATGCGTTAACTATAAGCAACTAGATGCGTCCGAGATTCAGTTGTCCATTTCCGTATATTTCTATGTAGCTTTCCTTCTGGTAAATTATGTTTCCTTGGATCAATGTGATGACTTTAGATTCTTCTGCAACAATTTCGCCCGATAAATTTTTCGTGGTTTGCCTATTTCATGATTTTTGGATACAAACGGATGCTGTAAATATTGTGCTATGTTCCGTTCAACGTGCTTGTCGCATTGATACGTTTCAACTTAGTGCATTCTTTCTTCCAATACGGACTGCTTCCATAGCAAGTGTAGCTTCGACTGTAGCGTTGCTTAAGGAAATGTCGATAGTTTTTGTTTCTTTATTGGCCCATGAAAAAACGCTCAGAGCGAATGACATACGTTCATCCAAGCGCTGCTCTGTTTTGATAACGATAGAGATTTCCCTGATTGTTTTATATACAAAATGAAGTAAATACTATTAATATTCGTACTAATATGTCACAGTATTTTGCTGTTTATGGATACTGCTGAGCGATTATCGCTAAATATTGAAACATCCATCTATATACGTGACACAACTCAGATGAGGAGATATTGAATCAAAATGAATTGATCTATATTTGCTATTCTGACGAAATTTTTTACGGTGGCATCGTTGTTCAGCAAACTTTGAGGCGGGTCACATGTGTCAGCTACGTAGCCGCTCAGACATCCGCAATTGGCAACGATCTATTATTGTGTTTGTATGGTCCAGTCAGTAAGCGCGTATGGTGATCATGAATAGTTACGTCTCCTAGTATAGTGGTTTTCTAGTATAGTCTTCAGTGCATCAAGTACGATCCTCTTCTATTGTGCCCTAAAACAAGAGAATTTCTCCACTTTCTATGCGTAAATTATCAATGCTACTACTGTGAAAAATATAATTATTGTATCTTTGAGGATAGTGAGGTTTTGATAGAGTCGGATGGGCTAGCACTGCCCGTGCAGTTTTCTTCACCGGCGCATGGCAACACGGTGTCTGGCCAAAAACGATTTTACAAAGAACGCGAGTCATTAACTCGCTCTTGACCTTACTTGTCGGCGAACTCATTTGGACCTAATCGTGTGTGGACCTAAAAAATAACAGGACAATTCGAAGATCATTAATTGTGGCTTTTCGATAGTTACGCTTATCCGAGACACGCTTGAATGTACTATAGACATAAACGCGTGTAAAAACCTAGAGCTAGTCTGAGACTGTGCAGTTTGACAGAAGCGTGCACTGAATTCTGAGTATGATGTTCTTTACCGCTGTATGAAAAATCCCAGTGCTTCCAAGCGTAATAGAATAGTGGAATAATGTGCAAATAATCTTCTTGGATTGAAACAACGTATTCAGAATGATGCTCCATTGAATAATTGATCAGCGAGACGTAAGTGTGCGCCTTGAAGTTACTTAAGAGTATGCCGAATAGTGAAGAACACCAAGAGAGCTCCTTGTTATTGTGTTACAAACACTGTTGTTATTACGTCGCGCGAATAAGGAAATCCTGCATTGGTTAAAGGATACTCTCCTGCTCAACGTGTTTACCTTTACTTTAGTGGCTGTTGCACGCGGGTAGGTGTTTCATAGCTGAAAGCGTCTAGTACATGCTAACGATTCAAAAACGCACGCTCAGCTTACTGAGCAGCAGGAAGAGGAGAAGAACCCTGTGAAGAAAAACCCTACCTAGGCTCTGCTAGGCTTGGCATTGTCTATGAACGCGTATAATTGGCTTCAACTTACGGTTGAGAATAGTAGATATACATGGGTATTGCTTGTTAGACAAATAAGAATTGTTAGAAAAAACAATGGATGATGTATCATAGACTTGATACAAGACTCTCTATTGCTACCAGTTTTGTAGTCGTTAAGATATATTCGATGAACAAACTGCGGAGAGTGATGTACACAATTTAAGTCGCCTTACACAAAGATTACTAGTACGGCTTAGGGGCAAGGTCAGATATTTTAAACCACAGAACATATGCAAATTGGTGAAGCCTTTTCTGCGTGTTTCTCAGTAACTTTAATATGAACCTTATTATTAAAAACTATCTAAAAAAGGACAAGAGATCTGATAAGACTCTGCTATCATCACGATGCGTATGTATGGAATAAAAGATGTGTGTGAACTGCTGATGTCTGCTACATCTCTCGATCTTATTGTTTTAACATATTGCGGAAGCCAGCAACTCAGCGGCTTCAATAAAAGATTATACCTATTAGAGAGATTTAGCTACACGTTTTCTCATCTCAATTTTTGATACAATTTGCTTACCTAATTCTTACGTTCAGGTCGTCCGGGAGTATGTTTTATCCTAACCCTAATCTACTAATTTAGCAATACCCAAATATTCCGAGCTATACGTCACTCCCCGATGCCTGACTTCGGGCATGAAGCGAAGTGTGTATATGTCCGGATTAGAATCCAGACCGATACATGTTTCTAAGATTAGCAGTCTAATGTCAACCGGTGAGCTATCACCGGGGTTAATATTGCATATATGTAAATAGGATTGTAAAATAGTTATGTATGATTAATATTTCTATATTGTGAAAAGGTTATGAAGTATTGCGGATCAAAGATTTATAATGGCTGAAGTTTAGTTGTGGTACCTATTTCAAATCCGTGAGACTGTTACAATGTATGGCACCTCATTTCTGAAAGCTTCTATTTTTTTTAAATTCACCCAAGTGAACTAAGACAAAGTGACGTAAATTGACACATACGACTTCGATAACGAAGCTTCGAGCACGAGGCGCAATTTCGTATCTTCGTTAGTGTACCATATCAAATAAAGGCACTACTTAGATCGAACGCCACCTGTAGGTGTATTTAATGCGGCATCATCTACTCCAAGTACTGCAGCTGAGTTTGTCTTTAATTCAGTTCTTCGGCAAGCTTAAAGTGACAGAACACAATTATTATTTCTCACATGAAAAAACCGTGGAAACACTACAAAGATATGATATACGGTGATCATGAAATGCGTAGACTTTTGTCACTTTATAAACCCATTTATGCAGAACCATTGCAGGACTTTATTAATTTTAGTTCAGAAGTTTGGGCGTCTGGATACGCTCTTATCTATGCAGGCATCGCTCTATCTTTACTCAGCATTCGATTGCAACGGCCAGGTAAAAATGCACGATTGACAGAGTGTTATGTAATACCGTAAGAAATGATATTCAGTGATATTGTGATTATTGTAAAGTTAGCCTCCACAACGGTCTGGATGACGAATTCGAGCAACATCGACGGATTTCTAGAGAGCTTATACTTTGTAAGTTAGAACTAATACCGCAGTAGCGCCAGAGCATAGCTCAAGAACAAGAAGGGTCATTGGCGGCAACCCATTTCTTTCTGCCTCTAACTCTATTTCCTCACGAGACTCCTGACCCCGCTGATCATGGGGGCTCTATCGTTACAATAAAAAACCGCCACGTTTTTATGCTGGCGAAGTAGTGGTTTCTTTAGCACATTTTTTTTTTGTTGGCAGCAATACGAACTGAGTAAGTCGACGAATTTACTATAGTTCAGTTTACAAATTAGTTTTTTTTTCAAATGTCTATTTCTAATAACGCACCAGATTGAGATTTATTTATTTAAATAACCAATGCGTCTTTTTTTTTAAATAACCATCTCCTGTTTTTCCCAACCATATTATGAAATACATGAAATTTCGCAATTTTTAGCAGTCTGTTATATCGAAAAGCGTCTCATTTAAAAAGTTCATCTAGAAGATAAATTGATTCTTTATTGCAGCACATAAACGAATCCAATGCTAACAGACGTTCTAGTGAGATCGCGCCATTTCCGCAAAGAATATGAACTATAAACTAGTTAGTGGATGTGTTTACGTTATTACTTTCTCACAGATATTCTCCATCGCAGACGAACGGGGCGAAACAAACCATGTCACTAAAGAGTAAAGGAAAGACCTTTCAATAAAGCTGTATGCCTAAATAAATACCATGTAATACAGCCCGTACTACCTTTTGCTTTGAAGATATGTCGCTAATGAATTTTATTTGCAGCCATCGCCTAAACCTATCCTAAAGGTTCCATCATATCAGTGATTTTGAAGTTTATATCGAATTTCGAATATCTGTACGCCGAACGGTGATATTGTACTAATTACGAAATATAAAAGGAACAATCTGTTTCCAATTATCTACATTTTCTTTTTCTGCTCTCTTTAAATAGGTGGTAGAAAAGATTCTCATCCTCCAAGTATAAGAACAAATTCTATTTCTCTTAACGTATTCGATCACCGCCTGCCTGTGCAATACCTTCTACTCTATTACATAGTTTTTACAAACGCAGACTTCAGTATCTAAAGGTTTGAACTAGCGCCATACTTCAAATTTGACATCAGTCTGAGGCGATCGCGAACAATTATATATCAACTGCGTGAAGATGTATCGACTAACTTATTCAAAGGCTATTACATCGAACCTCTTTACGATGTCGATATGGGTATATTTGAACGGCGAGCACAGCATCACCAAAATTACAAAATTTTTTTTTGCAGCCGTTTTTGCAAGAATTAATAGTATTAAACAGTTGAAATATGTTCTATACTTGATTTCAACATATTGCCCTTTTACCACTTTAGCAGGCGTCGTAATCCCAAAGCCCATAACGCTTCTATATCCTCTCTCAATATTGCAGTCACCGTTTACATCCCTTGTGCCAGCAATTCTCGTGTATTAACGTACAGGCCATTTTATAAATAATCACGGTTGTTTTATCCGGATATTATTATAGTTGGTGCTTTTGACAATATTCCCAAACGACTCTTTGTTGTATAAGCTTAGGTACCCTTCTAACTTTGTCAGTTTGTAGAAAATGGGCGAATTGTCGATTGCTGCGGAAATTTTTAAGCGAGAGTGGCTTAGGAGGTCCGGGAAGACCCGTCTTCATCCTCATATGCAGTTTGTCAAAACTGCGCATGTTCTGTTTCTTGGAAAAATGTTGATTCTACTGCAGATTGAGCATTTCAAGTCACAGAGCAGCCGTCTCGATAATGCTAGCTCATCTGTCCCGGTTATGTTACAGTAATAACGGAGTCGCCTACCTAATTTCGAAACACATGCGGTGGTTTAGTTTCAAAACCAGGCGTAAACAAACCTCGTTTCGTGTTGGAAAGGTTCAGCCGTTTGAAGGTATACATAGTGGCCGTATCGGTCGCAAAACTCAAGACCCCAGACATTACACTACATCGGGAATAAAATATCATGAAAGCCTCATTTAGCTGCTTCTAGCTTTTCAGTTTCGTATCAACACGATGATTTGGTCATTTAATTGATTATGCCTATTTATGTAATTGTTTATATATTATTTGCCTTGTTTGTAAACGTACGTTGTACTAGAGAAGACCTTGTTTTTCAGTTCAGGGATTAAATTCAGGAAGATTAAAAGATATCATTGTATCATTGAGACGTTTTTTTGATGACACCTCAAGCGCCAAGGTGCTGTTGTAAAGAAAACCTTTGACGAGAGTAGCTGGAAGACCTCAGAATATGTAGCTTTGGTTTGAAAATAAACAAATCAAATGTAGGAACCACTCATAAAATTCGTCTATGAAACTTCACCTCATTTTCATTTGATTTATTGCAGGCATTTAATTGACGATCCCCCAGCAGTGGGCATCCAGGATTTATTAATATACCTTAAGAACGTGCTTGTATGCCAGATAAACAAAAAATTTCTGTTTTTTCATTTCATGAAACCAATCTATCAGTAAACACATACAGATTGACATTTTGAGAGGACTGATTTAATTTTTATACATTCGCGCTATGCCATCTTCAACCGCGATAAGATTTAATTGGTGAGCCGCACGCAATATATAAATATGAACAATGAAAATTTGAAACTGAAAAGTGGAACAACTTCTGTACCAAGCCAACTGAAAATCATCTCTCATTGGCAGTATCTAAATAGATCCATAGTAGAGGGTTGTGGAATCGCTTCCAAAGACAAAACGAGTGTGAATGAATTAATGGCATATGTTTACCAAAACGACAGGCCTTTCTTATGCTATTCTAAGGGCCTTTCTGCCAGAAGCTCGAACGACTCATACAGAAACCGTCGTCAAGAGTTCGTGAGTCAACTTTTGCATGGCAGCGTATATATATATATATATATATATATATGTGTTTTTGTTTTGTACTGCAGTGATCGACAATAATACGGAGGAAAAGTCTACCTAAAACAAGGGCGGAAGAAGCTCCTTACTTTGTTGCGTGCGATGAATCGGCAGACGCCACGTGTCGAGAAAACATGTGTGCTCTACAAGCAACGAAAGCTCCAACACAAAGACTGAGTCAGGTATAAAATGACTATAGCGGTGATAATATAGCTGCCGACCTGAACGTACGGAACAACCCAGGTCAGGTCACAGCAGTTGCTCCTAATCAAACGGGCAATACATTTACCTTGAACAAGTTGCTTCGGAATGTCAAAACAGCGCGATTTGTGTCCAGCTGAACCTATTGTTTCATCAAGAACGAACTCATTACAGTTCAACCTAATCGAGCATTTCGACGTGTATTGCCCAAGTTGGGCTGTAAGTGGTCAGCCGAAAATCAGAGGGTGAATAAACCTATCGAAATCTATTCCCTATCAGTGATAAATAAAGTAAAAAGTGAAATTTCTCAGCGCAGCAAAAATCTTTGTTGTGTCACCTTCAAGAGCAACTTTCAATGGGCCTGGGTCCGCCTTAGCTGAGCTGCTGCCGCTGGATGGCTTTGTAATCAGCGATGGGCCTCGTGGGGGCCTGCGGAATCTGAGGGTTGTTTTGGTGACGCGTTGATTTCGTGGATGTTACAATGTTGGGTGGATCTGTTGCAGAAGTCGAGCCACGAGCAGAGTTCCAAGGATGATGATAGCGTCGAGTTCCTACCTGTTGGATGTTCGCTGAAAAGAGAAATGGCCGCTAGTAACAGAGCTGGTCAGTGTTGGTTCGAACTGGATAGCGCATATACGAACGGGGTGCAATATGAATAGACATAAATTGTAAATAAATGTAAGTTGTTACAACACGTCGCGAGGGTGCACCCCAGGAGGGTGTATATAATGTGACCATATGTAAGCATTACACCATTAGTGAGTAAGGGTATAACAGATTTGTACACTTTGTTTATCAAGCATCGAAGTAGTACTGGGAACCCAACCCAGTTCAGTTAATTAGAACTGCTAAAGTACTATTACAGCTGCGGTATTTGTCAAAATGCCTTTTTGCTTATTTGGTGTGTCTTAGCGTCTTGAGGTGACCAACTCTGGGTGACGGAAAATTTGATCACGATAAAGGAAGTAGGCAATTTGAATATATTAGATTAAATAACAAAGCGGTTTTTCTAGTGTTTTTTTTCTTACTGAATAGAAAACGTCACTTCTCTCATAATCACTAGTAACGTTATGTAAATTTCCTTGTGGTTCCATTTTACCAAATAATTTATGCTGTATTGCTAGAAAGTAGCAAGCTTCGTTTTGTGGAAGCGCCCTAACCTGGTGTCGAGTTGTTGATCCGTCTCGAAAACGAAAGTAACTGCCTAGTTTGGTGCCTTTTTTTCATCTCTCAACAAATCCAAAGGAGCCTTTTCGGCAGAAATTTTCAAGTTCAGGGTTGAGAAACTCATCTAACCAGCTTTTGAGATACCCTTCACCTTTATGTGTGATTCCTAATTTCATTTGCCAATAAAGAAAAAGGTGAAAATCTGTCGAAGAAAAGTCTGAAAAATATGGCAGGTGCAGCAAAAGTTCCTATTCAATGTCTAGGGGAGCTCCCGTGACGATGTATGCTGTGTATTGTCATGGGGCCGGATGACCTGATTTTGTCTTTTCTTTTGAAAACTATGATTGACTGAACGCAGCTAAGCGAAATAAATGCGCTGATCAACTGTCTAGTTCGTGAAGAGTAACTCGAAATCAATCACGTCTTTGCAGTTCCAAACATAACGCATAACCTCTTTTGAATTAAGTTCTAGTTGAACGTTAGGCTTTGGCTTCTTTCGTGGGACTACCCAGTTTTGTCTCGTTCATGTTGACGTACAGGCGCTAATTCTCATAACCCGTAACATTTCTGTGCAAAAGTTGCGCGACGTTCGACACTGGGCAAGAAGTTTCAATGCCGTAACTTCTAGTCGGATTTTATGTTATATATAATTCATAAGCTATCCAAGCCTCAAGTTTTTGGGTAGATTTAGGGGACATAAGATGATTAACAACAATCTTGCGGCTGCAGCATGCTTTTTCGGCCGATTCTTAAGTTTTCTGTCGGCCGGCTTCCTTCAGAAGTGCTTCCTCCCGGGTGATCGTCATCAAACTCAAATGGTTTGTCAAAGCGAAAGGATCCTTAATGTCATGGGTACCGTTTTCAAACAGTACAAGGCACTCATGCAGAGTCATTTTAGCGATGGCACCATGCAATGTCCCGGGCTGTCTCATTAGCATTTTGAGCTTCACGAAGTGCATAATGTAGAAAGCGCCAAAGATGCATCTTTTCGCTCTATCTATGAGGAGCGCTTCCAAGTTTAAATTGCACTCGTAACACAAAGCCGCTGCAGCACGCCCATATGGTAGGAAAGGCGCCTTCGAGTAGAACATCAGAGGTTAACGAGAACTAAAAGGAAGCCTTGGAAGAAAACCGCGACAACTTGCCACTCGACCTGATGCAATGCAGTTTTTGGATTGCCTCCTTTAGTACTAAATTGGTTCCTTAAGTTTACCGGTTCTATATACATTGTTATAACTAATAGCGATTAAATAAATTTAAAATATTTTTTGCTAAAATCTTTTCAATCAAACATTAAAACAGCATGTCTACTGTGTACCTCTCTCCCAACTGACCGGAAAATGGTTCGAAGCGAGCGAAATTTTTACAAAAAACCACTACTGTTTTTTTTCAGTGATGCAAAATGTGCCAAAGCCGGGTTAGGTAACATTTGACTTTCTATACCTTCGCGTATTTTTAGCTTCGCTTTGCCTCCTGGAGAACGTGGTCTTCTCTATTTGTTTAAAACATGCCCTATAAATAACCCAGACATCGTTCCAAGTATTTTGATTTTGTCTATAGACGCTGAGCCTCTACGTGGCGCCAAATGGAAACGACATTACTCGCAGCTGTTGGCATGTGTAACGTACAACAAATATATTGTTAGCACACTTCAGCTTTTTCAATTGTAGTTGATACACAGTTCACGTTTGTTTCAATATTGTAAATTTACATCCTCTAGCGTTGACAACTATTTCTCCTTTGTTCTATGTGACCGCCATGGGACATATGTCCTACCGTCGCCAACAGGCTACAAATAAGGTAAATATACAAATAAAAATTAGGATGTTACTTCTAGTGTCCCCGTGATGGGGCATTGGCAACATGTTTGCCTACTAAATTTAGGGGCATATGGGGTGGTCTAGATTCAGAAGCCAACGTTGATACGCATTGTTTTGTGCTGGCAGGCGGCAAACGTCTGAAGCAATGGTAAAACTCAGGACATTCATTTATATTATTATACCCATACATCTCTAGCTAGCCGGTTTGGCGGTCGTTGCAGATGACAAGCAATATTATACAACTACAGAAGTTGCTTCACACGGAGAATTCTACCATTGTTTGCACAGATTGTTTTCTGATTTGATTTCGGTACGGCAATGGCTTATTTGGATACCCAGGAACATTGCGCTTTATGCCAGCTTCGTGGCGCGTCTCGAACAGTCGGATCAGGGCTCCGCAATAGATCTACCCAAACGATGGGCGTTCTTTTCGTTCGCTGGAAAACTCTTGTAAAGATCGAAGATGCCACCGAAACATTTGAAACTGAAAATGGGCGGGAAAGCCTACAGGTAAAATGCACAATTGCGTTTCTAACAAATTATACAAAGCACATATAAAAGGAACTGCTGTATAATTGCTAGCTTGATTCGCAGCAGGTTTAAATTAAAGGGCGGATTTGTTCAATTGTTGAAGTTCTTATTTCAACCTAAATTAAGTTTAGCCGAGTAAAGCCGAAGTGTTTTTAGGGAAAGTTTCCACAACTTAATCAAAGCTTAAGCAAGCTAAAAAAAAATCAAATGATACCTAATTTCATGTTCAGCATAAAGCTGTGAGTTGTGGAATCGGGTAATGCATAGCTGTTTTAATATATTGACGATGGTAATCATGTATTCAAGTTACTTTTCAAGTTATTTCCTAACTTTTTCTCAACATTGTACAAGTTCAGGCGTTATCAATCTCTGCGACGAAACAGCTTTTGAAATTGCTAGTATATGCCCGCCGTAGAGTAGGTCAGTGAAGAATACTGATACATACAGTGACGAGATTTGTACTTGGACTCAGGCACCTGTTGAACATTAAAGACGATCCTTTACACGACCTTAAATACTCCTGTATCGTTCATATCGTTAGAGGAAAACAAACAGCTGAGCTTCGAACGATTTTTTTTGCATTATTGATGTTATGCTGATTCGTCGGATGAACAGCTGAACAAATAAAATGACTTGCACAATTAAAAGCTCCTGACTGACTATCTGTTTGCGTTCCCTGTTAGGGATCAGAAAATCTAATTTCGTCTATGAGCCGTAGTAACACGATGCTTTAACTTACCGTTGTCATCTTCATTGGTTTTGACCTACTTTAACTTAATTGATCAAATTTCGGTCTTTCAAGTTTTTATTCAAATACTTTTTTATAGTTAACACTACTAGTAGAAAGAATAACTGTAATGGTAACTAACGAAAGTATCATATCAAGGGACGTTTCGAACAACGAAAAAATAGGGTAATATCGCCACTTTATTGTGTACCTTATAATATCTGTCTGGAACATATAAGCACATTCCTCATCCTTTCGACACGTTTTATGGATGATCTTCTACAGGAGGTGATCTTTCTACTTTGGAAAGCCGGAAGAATATTACAAACGTTTCGTAAACGGATTGGAAACTCAAGCATGCTGCACGTTACAATGTTTTTTTTTGTTTGTTTTTTATTACAGTGATATTCACCTTCCGATGTCGGAGCGTCCTCTCAGGGAGGACGATACACTTGTATTGTAAATATATACGGAACGCTTGTCCTTATGCCGATGTGTTACAGAAAATCACATGTGCTTTTCTTACGGTATAAATTACTCGACATAGAGGTGATTGGTTCTGGTTGAACACGATAGCTGCGACGTTTACTGCTTGTGGGAGTTCTCTGATCAGCAAGTTGAGACGACTGATCGCATGTACGCAATATCACAATGTGAAATAGAATTTTAATAAAAAGAGATCCTTGCTTAAGGCAAAGACTGTTTCATTTTACTTTAAAATAAAAAAAAAAAAAGAAAAACAACAAACAAACTTTAAAAACGTCTACTGGAAGTAATTCTTTCGATCAAAATTTACAATACTAAAATATATAGTTAATGAATACATTAGCCGTATAGCTTGGGTAATTTTTTGCTATCATTTTATCGTCGGAGACAGTATGCCAATAAAATATGGCAGAACCAGGTTTAAAAAGGACAGAGGTTACCAGTTCAGGTACTACATTGTGTATGTTTTTTTTGGATAGAGCTTTGCCTTTGGTCGAATCTCTGTTGCAGAGTATATCCACTTACTGCTTGTCGGTCATTGTAGAAGTCACTTCTAGGTTTAATGTTGTTATAAATGTTATTTTAAATACTGGTGAAAAACACCTCATGCACTGGGCACTCGTCAGAACTAAACAGAAACGCAGAAATATAATGAATTGTTTACGTTTGAAACATAGGTTGAATAAAAATCATGCGTGTGTCAAAAATGTCCTATGCTCTGTCCCCTGTGTAGACTAGGAGAAAGATCAAGTAGGTCAACGGAGATGATTGTTCTTACCATGACAGCGTCGGCATACGATAAGTTGGCAGTTTCCTGGGACGAACACACTCTCTATGGTCAAATATAAAATCATATTGAATAACCTCCCAAGTTTGAGGAGATGTATACAAAACTATCTTCTCAGCTCCGGTTATCTCGTTGAATTTGTTTTGAGATGATCACGCTACCTGTACCAAAGCGGGTTTTCTGAGAATCAGTTCATTGCAAGAAAAATTTTCCCAGATAGCCCTAATATACATTTGGCCGTGGTCGAATGAGAATGAGAATATATGTCAAGTGTGGCGGGGCCTTATGTTTATCCCAACCAGATGTGGTCGCACCGCATCGACCTTGAGCTGCTTTCGCTAGGTACGCCATCTACCAGGTTGTTCGGGAAACTGTCCTTCATTTTGCTGCTTCGAATTTAGTTTACATCACAAAATTTAACTTCGAATGAGGCCTATGAAGTAGCTTGTTTGAAATGGCGACAGTTTCGATATCTTATAAACTGAGAATTAGATTGAATGTAAGACATCGCGACAATATAAGGTGACCAATCGTGGGTGAACTGAAGGCAGTTTGGTTGTTTTTGTGCGCACCCTTAATGTTTCAGTTGTTAGGTTGCAAATGAAGTTTCCACATTTTTCTGCCAAATAGAAAACATGGTATGTTTTCTCATTGCGACAACAACTTACTGTCCGCCGTCGTTTTCCGCGATCTCCTTCCATCTGTCAACCAACTTATTTTCCCTTTCATTGGGCAGTGAAAAACTCGTCCACCCCGATTTTGAGATGCCCTTTACTCTCAGACGTGCGGTTCCCAATTCCGTTTGCCAGTGCAACTGTCTGCGTAAGGTCGGACCTCGTTCGTTGGATGTTTTTTCTTAAGTATCCTAAGAAGCGTCCAAGGAGAAGGTCCAAAGAAACGTACCAATCAATTGGATGATTAGCAAGAAGTAATTCTCATACAGTCCGATCAAATGCAAAGTCTTTGATGAAGATCTGGTGGGACCTGAGCCTTGGCTTCTCGTTTGGAGCCAGCCATCGCATTCTTCTTTCCTACTGACGTACAAATGCCACTTACCATCGTCGGGGACAATTTTGTGTGGGAATCAGTACTATGGCCGCCCTACACCAGTTAAGATGCAGCATTGAATCCTCGTTGAATTCAGAGAGTTTGTGAGGTACCCAAGCTCCAAGTTCCTGTGTAAACCTAGGTAACCTAAGGTGCCTGATAACGGTCATGCAACTGCAGCCCATCTTCTCGGGCAATTGCCGAGTTGTTTGTCAATCGTCTTCCTTCAAAAATGCTTTCAAATAATCGTCATCAAACTTAGAGGGTCGGTAAGAGCAGGGGCATCCTGAAGTCCCGAATACCGCCTTGAAACCTCACTAAACATCCTTGAATAGCCGTTCTATTGTTGTGTACAAAGCAGCTGTCATAGGCTGTTCCGACAACGTTTTGGCCATGATCGAATGCTGTAAATTTCAGAGGTTGTCGAAAATGCACATTTTACTTAACCATCTCTGAAAACTTCTTTTGAGCTGATTTTCTACTCACAACACAATACTGCTATATTAAATTAATAGAACAACAAGGGCGTTCTTGAAGGGTATATTAGAAGCAAACAACAAGTAGGGGAAGAAAAATTTTGCTTTTTAAAGCGCCGCAACTATATATTCAACCTAATGCATTTTAAGACTTTCTCTGTAAGGCAATATCCTGTGAGGGATTAGGCCGTCAGTCGAAGAAGGATAATATCTGTGAGCGAACTGCCAGGCCTTTTATACCTCGAATGGTTTACGTTTCTGGCTGTCACACTTAACCACTGCTAGCAACAATACTGCGTTCATGTAAAATTCGCACGTCCGCCGTATGGCTGCGTCCGTTGCGACTCGATGCATGATTGTTCTCGCATGCGTAATGTAATATGTCCCGACTAACCACCCTCCTAACGGCCGCGTGCGTGCCGACTCCGCAGTGCTCCAACGTGCCTAGGGCCTATTGTCCTGATTTACGTTACCAAACACACGCATATGTATATGCGCCTGACGTACCTTGAGACACCTTCGTCCATTTCTGCAAACCTCTATCTAAAATATTGTACAGTAATTCAGGGTGCGTTACTAGCAGTTCTTACTTAACGAAGGATAGTTATGGAACTATGTAATATGTACAGGGTAATACAGGTATTACTGAGATGACTATATGCATGTGGGTGTGTATGTGTAACAAACATTCAATATCGTGTGTTTTAGCTTTTTCAGTTAGAGCTTCTGTTTGTAAACGAGCGCTACGAAAACCTCCGAATAAAAACGATTTGCGTCACAATATATAAATATTTCTTTATCACTAATATAGGTTCATTCACTCATATAGTTCAGTGTTTACTTGCCGGGACGTAGCAGTCATCAATTTGGTTATTTATAGCTCGAAAATGCGCTGACACTAGCAGAGCTAAAATTTGTTATTTCAATAACATAACTGAATGTCATGCTCAATTTTCACGCAATCATATGGCATGTATCAGTAAAGTGCTGTGTCGCTTTATGGGGCACAATGCTGGGACCCCCCCCCCCCCCCTGATCTTTTAGTTGGCTGATTGCGATATCTAAAATTTCGTAGCTGTGCTATATAAAAAAAGGACAGGACATTTACAGAATCGTCACACAGAACGCTTGCTTTGTATATCTATTCGGGCGACAAATCATTTTACGAATGCTATGATACGTTCGACTCGAAGCCAACGATAACGTCTTTGCCTCAAAACACGATCTCTACAGGGATACTTTGAAGAAAACGCCACAAATTATGGCAGTTGGCTAGAATATTAACAGTAAAGAGCCAAGAATACTGCACGCGTCATTAGTGCGTGTATGAGGTCAATAACGTACGTCAACGTACAGCATAAACAGAAGATCACGCCAAATGTGCGCGGCTAAATAATATACTTATATATCTAGATGTATGAAAACTATGTGTTAAAAATTCTAATAAATACAGCCCTGCTGTATGTTCTGGATAGGCCAGAACACTATGAATTAAATGTTGAAAAAGTTAGTTACGTGTTTACATGGAAAATCAGTGAAAGTTCAGCCATGTTTGCAGCCAGTTCAGCCAGTTGGTGCAATATGTTTGCATTCTTTTTCCTGTACGTATATATTCAGATAGCGACATTCATGATCAAGGAGAAATAAAGCGAAAAATCCTGAAAATCTTTTTCGGAAAACCCAATATTTCAGTTGATACGTTGAATCAAAAACGGGGCATTTTTAACAAACGTTTGATGTCCAAAACAATTTATTGTTTTCCGTTTCTCCTGCCCATTTTTTTAAAATCTGCATCATTATCTGCCTGAGTACATATTTGTAGGAGATAATGAAAATAGATTACACGGACGTCATTTATGTTAAGGTTAATCTTCCATACGATTTTGTTCTTTTTCTAACAGCCCGTTGCTACACATCTGCTTGCTATGCAAATATAGTTCATCTTCTAGAAATTGTTTTTAAAACGCTCTTATTGCTAAAAAATCTTTCGATTTATCCAAGTCTTTTTGCCTCTCACGAGGTACTAAACATTCGCGCAAATAGAGTAGAACCCCGCTGAATCAGCGACTTGGAATTTTTTGTTGAAAATGGGTCGTTAAAATGACGATGGCACTTTGAATTTGGGCAAGCCAATAGGCTCAAGCCATGTTCTGTATTTTGGCAGCAAGGTATTGAATTTGGGTGGCCGCAAGGGCCTATCACTGCGAGCAGTACTGAACACCTGAGGAGAGGAAAAATCGTTATTGAAGCTAGGTAACGTTAAAGTGTACGCAATTCTGCCACTAACTCGATGGGTCGGAAAATGCCTAGAAGATTGGTAGCGCGCTTTTCTTAGACGATTAACTATGGAATATTTTTGTACACTGAAGTATAGAGCTTAGATGAACTCATAAGGCGATAACACGAAGAAGCAAGAATAGTTTGCTCTTATAGCCGGCAATATAGGCAGCGCACCATGCCTAATTCCAGCTTACCTCATGAGGCACGGTCGTCCACAAGGTAATGGACAGGCATGCCCACACGGTAACTCCTTGCCGCATGTCTGATCACAGGCAGGCAAATCATCTTCGAAAGTCTGCTCGTCATGGAAATGACAATTTTGAGGGCATTGATGACCGCAAGGTAGTCTGACATTGCACCTCTCCTTGCAGCTGGTTTGCCAACTGACGGCGGAGTTTCCGCAATTAGAACCAAAAATCACCTAAAAAAAAGAATGTGCAGTTTCGTATACGCGGATTTTCAATTCGGCTTGTGTGATACCAATTTTTTTCCTAGTTTCTTTGTCTTTATTTTTTACTGAGCCAGTAGATTTCCTCTACAGGTGCCTCGCGAAAACTTGCAATAATGACAGTTGATAAATATAGTGATCATTGGCAGCGGTAGTCGGTCTCTTATGTATAAAGGTCGTCGAACTCACATCGGTTTTGTGCTTAGGACAGGTAAGAATAAGTGACTTGCGCACGAAACCGCACGACAGGAGATTGTTTACGAACCGTCGAACATTTTCATCTGACTGAAATTGTAAAAATACAAAAACTAGTTCAGTGATGCCGTTCCTAATCACCTACATCGCTTGACAGATGTTAATGTTTTTAATTTTACGTTCGTTACTGGCGTTAAGCATTGCTCCAGAAGGTTGGTCTACAGCATGGAACGACGTGTGTCTTACACCCGGCTTCAAACCTAGGCCATGAATTGGTAGGCAAACACATCATTATGGACGTTTGATTTGCACCCCGGAACCCGCGTATATTCGAATCAAACCCCACAAATAGATAATCGTTTCTAAACTACTCATCATTTTCGCCGTGGTATACGACTGTGCTAGTGGCTATTATTCACTTCATGATAATACAAGCTGTTCATGTAAATGCAATGCGACGTAGTCGGCACTGCGGTTCCCTGCTAACTTTTCGACCAGCAAAAACCCGACTGTTAAATTGAAAACGAGGATTACATAATCGTCCATATTCGATTGGAATCGTGTCCAGTACTGCGATGGTAATAAGGACCTAAACAGGGACTTCTGAGCGAGGTATGGTGGCATTAAGCAAGATGAGATATGACCTTTTTTAGTTGTTGAAGGTTGCCAATAAGGAAAACTCGACGTAAGCTGAAGAGTATAAGTTCGTACAGGGCTGGCAGAGCCTTCGTTGTTAGCCCGTGCAGAGATACGAAGGTGTCCGCATGTGGTTTGAACGCCCTGTCACAGATATGAAAAATAATTGGATAATATTATTGGATATTGGATAACACTTATGCAGGTAAAGTAGGTTTGCTCTGTCCTAAACAGCTTAATATGCAAGGATACCGTCTACAATTAAGTAAGCTAAGTTAAATAATTAGGTGTTGTATTTAATAGTAATTTATCAATTAATCAACTAATTAATAATTTAACTTAGTTCAGCGATAACCGACAATGGGAATATTCAGTAACTATATATATTATCATATTAACATTTAATTTTATAATTATATTCAGATATAATTATATAAGACATTCAAGCAAGCGCCTGGATGACCTACAATGCTAACGTTCTTGCAGGAGATTCTTCGGAAGTAGGTAATTCTATAGTGGTTCGTGGTTCGTTGATTAAAATCGTTCTTGGTTTTGATTTTGGTAAAAAGTAGAACAAGTATGTAAAGTAAAATATTACAATTTTTCTCTGTAAATTGAAGGATAAAGGATGCTAGATATTTCGATGCAATAACTTCTATCGTTCTCCTGCTTAGGGATACTACTTGGCTCCTGCGGAATAATTAGTTAATACTGGCTTACAGATGATTTGCTCACGAGAATTTGCCAATTTTGTTGCGGCTATGTCAGTCTTCTAAGAGATAGTGCAAACTTCATCCTTAGGGCAATAGAGTAAATCCTTGAATGTGAGTTAATGACATCCAGGTGACTGTGCTACCCAGGCGATCTTTTCATTGAACATGTTTTGTTAAAAAGATAGATAAAATGCCTATGACAAACCCTTTGATGTCCTGTAACGCGTTCGACGAACTGGACTTTTCGACGGGACTGTCGCATAACTCTACCACCGTACTACCATTTCTGTTCACTGTGAAAAATGTATATATATATATATATATATATATATATATATATATATATATATATATATATATTGAACGATCAGTAATTTTTAGACGTCACAAAAGATTAGAATAATCTTAGATTAGAAGGAATAGTCGACATAAAATGGTGACGAATTCTCATAAATGGAACACCAGGGTGGAAAAGTAGAGTGCAACATCTTATTAAACAACCTATATGGGTAACAAGGTAATTAATCAGAAAGGTCACGAGATAAGCACAAATCTAGCATCTGATACAAACACATATAAGAACGGGCGAAATATATATTGTTAGTTCTTGAATGCCCGTTACAAGTTCCCAAACTATAGCAGAACGGTAGCGATTTAATTAATCTGGTGGTCCCTAAATCAATAATAATCTGGTGGTGCGAAACACACATATGATTAAATTCAGTTAGTTAACCTACCTACATAAAGGCTGTAATCATGTTCTTCCGCCATAGCAAATAGATTTCCCATGCTTTTCATTAAGTGGGTTTCCAATTCGACGGCAGCTTCTCCTTTCTCGGTGTGTTTTATCACTACCACGTTCTTCGGTGGCTGTTGAGTTCGATGAACAAATAGTTAAAAACGACGCTTAATTAACAACAACAAAGAGGTCAGTAGTGATAACTGCAATTTTCCTACGTTAATATCCAGTTATTGAAGGTTAGTACAAGCAAGTTTTGTGGTATCTAGCTAAAAAAAATTATATATACCTGTGTGCGTGAAGATAAAACGTTCAGCCAGCGATAACTGAATTCGGCTACAACGAGAAAAAAATCCTGTTGTTTTATCAGTCCGTGTACTTACCTTCTGAGGTAACGGGCCAAGGGTGTGCTTAAAACATGACAAAAGTAGTCCGAACCCATTGTCGCTCTCGAGTACCCATCCTTCAAAGAACTCTGCAGAGAGCATTTGGGGACTGATGAATTGCTCAAGTAGCGATAAAAATTCGTCGCATATATAATTACGCCGACGAACAGATTTTATGGAGATCCCTTTGGATTTCCATTCTCTTATTGGCTTCCAAAAGCACGGCGTATCAATCGACAGGTAGATATTGTTTCGTCGTACCGAAAAGACGACGCCTAGTTCGCTCAGCGAAAGACGATCCGCGTCCACGATAACGCTGGCTGCTGGTACGAGATAATCAATCAGCGAAACGCAGCCTATGACATCTTTGATAGTTCCTGGGGAAGCATTAACAACCGGATATTACCACTTATCAAGTGTAAACGTTGTGAGCCAGAAACGTACTTTGAGGCCTATTGCCGTTTCGATTCTACCGTCAACTGTAATGTGGAATTCGCTAATTAATATAGAATTATCTAGGACATAATAAACATAGACCTTTATAGAATGCGTGGGGGTGATCCAGTTAACTAACGCAGGGCAACTTGCGCTATTTAGTGATGCATGATCCTTACCATAGATCAATTGGACATCTGGAAATACCTCGAATGCTAGCCGGTGATCGATTTCATTGAGGAGCTTTTGCAGTGCCTCTAACCTCAGAAGCACTATCTGCATTTCCTGATTCAGCGCAGCCTGTTAATACATAGGGATCAAAAAATGTATGTAGATTTCTATTTTGCGAGGTAGCATACGGCCCTCGTTGCCAAAGATGAAAAATACTCGAGGATCTTACTACTTGAAATAAGCTTGGTAGATACAAGAAGAATGATGTAATTTAAATAAATTAATGTTATTTATTAGACCCGGAAGAACGACGGTGGTCTGCCTTGAACCCACTGAGCGCTATTGAGAATGGACTCACGAATGAACCAGCCTTTCACAGTGGCCCAACATTAGAAGCTTTAAAAACAGGACAGCTTTAAAATAATGTTATGAAGATTCTTAAAGTTGAACGTTATTGCCTGTTTGAGAAACTAATAAATATATGAGCGGTGCATGACAAAGGTCAATGATAGACGAAATTTGCTGCGTTGCCTTTTTCAAATAAAACGTTCATTTATATCAGAATTAAAATTTATTGTGAATGAAAGGTTCGTTTAGTAGAGGCCGCAGTCAAATTGACAGTCTGTTCATTCATCGAAATTCTGTCATATTACAGTCTAATCTGTCAAGATGTCGCTGTGGATTGTTGTTCCTCTGCTTAAGATAAAAACTTACTTTTGACCCTTGAATCTGAAGGGTGTATGAGTATTCATTGCAAAGGGTTGTAATCGTTTCGACGACTTCATCTATCTCACGAAGAAGTTCGAAGTGCTTCTGCCGAAGTAACTCTTCTGTTTCCAGCCGACCGGCGTCCCGCACTTCTTCAGTAACCTACGGTATTATTAATTAACAACCAACCAATCAAATATAAAATGAAAAAAAAAATTTATCTTTAGTTATACGATGCTTCCACTTGCAACGGATGCCAAACAATAATGCTGATTGAAACACTAGGTTATCATTAAAGTTTATGTAATTATTATTATTATTGGCATTTTCGATGCATTTTAACATGATGGTGCAATGTATTGCCACTTGGACTCCAACGCTCTAAGACGTTAGCTCAGAGTTGGGTCCACGAATCTTGGGCATTCAATCACATTATCTGATTACTGAGGTTTCTTCTGCGTCAAACTTTTTGGCAATGCCAATTTCTACTGAAAGCTCAACATTAACGTATACACATAGTATATACTAACCTTGGAACTGTGCCGAAGATTTTGAAGATTGAGAAGGGACAAATTCGGGGGCAATACCATGCGCTCACGAACATTTTCGCCGACTATAAGCACGCGACTTCCTCGGGGTACTGTCATCTTACCACCAAATGGAAAGTAGAAGAGTGGATATTTTCTACTTAATGTTTTTTATCTTTGAAATGGTGTTCACGCATGTGGCAGCGGCCCATTGGAGCATATCGCTAAGTATAAGATTTCCCTGCTAAATTAACGGAGCGTGTCGAGTTGTTATTTGTATTTAGCTATTATTCTATGTGAACAAAGGCTTGAAATCGCCTCGTTTTATCTATAATATTATTGACTTGCCCCCACAAAAAGTTTAACTTACTAAACTAATCTGGGCTGTCTCGTATAGACTTACGAAACGGCATAGCACGCAACAAAGCCAGCAGCCAATGAACTTGACAATAAATCATTATTCTTCTTAATTCCTAAGTGATACCGTATTTTTCTGACTATCAATTTCTGGCAATAAATTTAGCAACGCTGACATTTTGGCGAAGATGACAGCGTTCTTGCTATCTGAAGCTGCCACGTAACGAAATGCACCTAGACGGCGCTGTCGGCGCAGTGTACGTTTAACTATTTCGAATATTGTCGAGCTATTTATTTTGAACGTCCGGCATGCAGACATCATTATGTAAGTTTATGAGAAATATTACCTGTATTTCGTTCATGATATGGGACATTTTTTTGCTTCGTGGAGGTCCCTGTACGATCCGTATCGTACACGCAATCCTCAACTGAAACGTACACGTAGGTACAACATAAACATTTAGCCACATGCTAAGCTCAACAAAATCGCCATCTCAGCGTTATAGTAGGCTATATTAGCAGGTCGTTTTGCCTATTTTATCGAGCTGTATTGAAGCAGACACATGTTTCGATCCTGCAGTTTACAAGGACACATACTAATTGTATAAAGCAGCCTGTTTTCGACCATCCTTCTTCCAGAACAAATAAAAGGTCGCCTGACTATTGCCAAACATGTTAGGCATATTCTACGACCATTCTATCGAGAACGTAATAGTATCGTCTCTGCTCCGTTTGGCTGTGTGTGACGATTCTTATGCCACATGGTGATTATATTTGGTGGATCCAGGCTGCGAACGAAATACGTAACTAGTAAGTGGATAATTACGAAAGTTAACTTACACCAGATATGCCCGATTGACCCGTCGTGCTGACCGCATGGAATTTTCTTTCGAAAAATGACCGTTTCACAAGAAAGATCTTTACCGCGATAGATCCACCAACTAATGAGAAGGTCACTTTTTCATGGCATATTACAACGACCTGTCGGACGGAGCAGGTGCGTCAATTAGTATATAATAATGATAAAGAATATTAAATGTCTCTACGATCTCACAATGTAAATATATGGACGCTAACTTTGGAGATTAGGCCACACCAGGGGGGGTTTAAGGGCCTAGGCCTGCATTCTGTCAAACCTTCGAAAAATCCGTCTTCACTATAGATCTGGTAGAAACACTACCATATAACAAAACGATGCCTCTACACATTTCGATCAATTTTTAATAAACTACTCTCCGGGAAATAGAGATGTGCACAATAACACTGATAATGATAGAATGTGATAATTATGCTGTAAAGTGTCTGATATAATGTAATACTTGCTTAATCGTTAGTTTGTGAGAAATTTCCCTGTTACTATGGGAAATCGCATGTGCGTGACAGAAGTTGTCCGCAGGACATTTACATTAAGCTTATGATGACCATACACAAAAACTCATTATTATGTGATACACTACATATACTTCACCTGCCCAAAAAGGGCAAGACAATTCTCAACGAGGCTGTGAATTTTTAGAAAACACAAGAAAAGGCGGCGGGATGTTTAGTTTTAACGGTGCTTACCGATTCGTCGCGACTTTCCATAAGGACAACTGACTCAAGAATGTCGAGACCTGCCCCCCCGTCAAAGGAAAGTCCACCCTCGAACTCGACGAGAAGGCGGTCACCTACCGTAAGGCCTTCAAATTTCGAGTTCTGTTAAGAACGACAAAGAGGCAATGTACAATAACAGTCTTGTAAACGTAAACGTTAAACGAAATCGTCCTTTATCGCGATATGGTCATGACGATTTTCAAATATCCACGACCCTTTATTGACTTCGTATATTAATCATGTTTCACACTGAAATTCAAAAGGTTGACGAAACAACCTTTGCAGTACCCTGTTCGCAGAAGATGCTCCTAAACTGTGCGAAAGACTTCCTTATCCAATGCAAAAAATCAATTTTTGAGAACGCGCATATTCATCGCTGCGTATGGATAACCTACCTGAGCCGGCACTTTCCACGAAGCGTCGCGCAGCTCGAGAATGGAACAGCTGGCAGTACACGACGCGAGATAACCACCTATACAAACAGGTTCCACCTGTGATCCGTCGGTGACCTGCGCGAACTTAGCGATATTCCGACGACTCCGTGGACTGAACACTGAACCGGGGAAAAACGAAGTTTTCGTTGAACTGAACTGAAAACAACCGTTGACAATCGCAGAATCGCCCGTGAAGTACGCGGGTGGGCTACAGAGTTCGTAAATAAAACTATGAAATCTTTATTTCTTCAAAAAAAAACCTAGATCCTTTATTCTAACAGAAAACATTTTCAGCTGCTCTAATCGATAGGATACGAAACGCCAACTCTTTCTGTCGTCATTTGTATAAGAGAACATTTCAAACTTTATTACGAAAGCACAGTGCTTTTCTTCGTTGCACCCCATGTTATCTTATTGGCACACTGTTACGTAACTATCAACATAATTTTTTTTGCTTTTCTCTCTTTGCTAGCTAAATCTGTTAGGCGTCACATGGTCTATGAATCATTCGAACGTAGTGATACCTTATGCAAATTCCATTTCGACACTCACTATACGCGGTTTATTACCCATCGTCTACATAAATAATAACATTTGCTGTTGAAAATAGAATGAGTTATCCAGCTTCTTGAAAAATGGGGTAATTGTCTTAAATCTGTTGAAACCTGTGGCGGGTGTCCGTAACCCATTTGAAACGATTTTGATTGAGGCGTCGAAGAAATCACAGCGTGACTAAAATTTAAATCCTTAGCGTCCATTTCACTGTTTATTACATGGCTGTCACTTGCAGATCGAGCAAACACCTAAATCATAAACGTTTAAAATGCAGTTTAAAGTTAAATAGCATAACTTTCCTTGTCTCGGTTCTTATAAATGTCACCGTTTAAAATACACAGCAGTATCGCTTCTATGAAAATTGTTTCATAGTTACAGGGGGTTCGTTTGCAGATTATCAGGCTCTCTAATGGGGTACATAACCCCCATAAGTAATGGTGGACAGATATAGGAAATAAACTCCAAGATGTTTTGTTTCGTTCGTGTTATCTCTTTAATCGTTTGAGTATATATATA